TAAGATGTTCCAGAGGCTAGCAATTTCAAGAGTAAATGGGAGAACCTTAGTAACTTAGCTCCATGTGTCCTTTAAATATAATCAAGTTAAGATGTATTTATCAACTTTAATAGGACAACACGTTTACACTCATACTCAAACTTCACAAAACAGAATCAGGAAATGAATAAAAGGAGATGTGGGCTATATCAATGAGACAGAATCCAAACTACTGAAAACAGAATCAGGAAAGAAATAAAAGGAGATGTGGACTATATCAATGAGACAGAATCCAAACTACACAAAATAGAATCAGGAAATGAATAAAGGAGATGTGAGCTATATCAATGAGACAGCAATTCAATGACATTAGAAACAAAAAAATATACACAAGTCAACATAGGCACTTCTACAATAGACAGGTGTCATATCAAGCTCTAGATAATCCTGGAGTCCAACTAAGTTGTGAATAAACTTAATTGATAAATTCAACAACACTTATCGTTATCTTCTTGGTATTTCGTTTCGTTAAATAATCAAAAATTCTCTAAATATACTGCCGAAATTTACCCACAGCAACTTACTTTAAACAAATCAAATATTAAAAACAATAAGTGTCCTTTCCTAGATTTAGATATTTAAGTTTTACACCAGAAACTCTACACAAAAATTTACGCCAAAAGGGAAGATTTTTCTCTCCCTATTGTTAATAATCTTTTTTTGCGTGAACCCCCTGAGGGGTTCACGCTTATATATTGGCGAGTTTTGGAAGTGTCCATGGGCCACTCGATATCCTCGGAATCACGATTCTCGGAACGTCTCGAAAATTTTCCATCATTCATATTGGTAGTTATTTATGTCTTTGATACGGTCCCTCTATGGAAAGGCTACAACGTGACATTGTATATTCAACAATCCGACAAACGTTTCATTTGTAGATTTGAAAGTAAAACGATAAAGACTAGGTTGCATTCTAAAAATCATTTATATGTTAGAACCTATTTGCCTTTTGACAAAACATATATGTTTTTGATAATGTGAATGTTTATTAGATATCAAGTATAATGATAACGCAATTATATAATTCATGCTTCGAGACGGCCCCTCTACGCGTTGTCTGTGTTGTATCATGGAAGTAATATTGCTTCCATGGTTGTATTTAATAAACCTGGGAATAGTTTATTGATATACAATGAACCAGAATAAACTGATTATTTCTGAACGTTTATCATTTGATATTTAGTATTTCAATCATAGCATGAGAAAATGTTGAAAAGAATGAAGAAAATTAAGAAAACGATATTTCTGTTAAAAATATTTATCTAAGGTCGGAAACACAGTGGTCGGAAAGCAGAAAGATAATCAAACAAAAGGATTTTTCTGTAAAAAAATATCTAATTTCATTAATGGATTCTACCAGACTAAGAGATTATTCATTGTTAAGGTAAAACTGAGACTGAATTTATTCCTAATAATTATAGAATATAATTAAAATTGTAATGTATACCTGCATTATGTCTCACAGGTTTGATCAGCCATTACATTTATGAAAATTATATGTAACGTATGAGCACCAATGAGCAGGTATGCGTACCCAAAGTTAGCTAAATATCTAAATTTTAAACGGTAGTGAATGAAAAAATACTTGCGTGGTTTCAATTCACAAGAATTTTGAATCCTTGCATCTCACAAAAAACGTAATTAATATTTTACAATAATCATAACAAAATGTAATTACTATCATAATGTTAATTTTTTTTCTTTTATTAGTTCAACCTTATAGCATCTAAATATTTGTACTATGGTACGGTTTTGAAAATGTATTCATTGTGTTGGTCAGCTATCCTACACGTCTTGATTCATTCACATTATACATCACTCTGTTCACACGCACACTATCGGTTTGCGTTCACAAAAATTCCGGATAAAATGTCAATGAATCCGGAGTCAAAACACTTGAGGTAGGTAGTTTGACATCCGAATTCAACTATAAGATTAATATATGTGATGACGCAAATGCGTATTCTTATCCAGAGTATCAGTGCGTATGCTTTCTATTTTCTATTTCTTGCGCAAAAATACTACTTTCATGCATAAATATTAATTTGACTCGCGAATGCGAATTTTCGCTTTTCTTATCTTAATCCAGGACATGGCAATAAGAGCTTGCCATGTGACTTTCAAGCACGGTCATCGTTGCTTACGGTATTCTGACCTCTAGCTGTTTCTCTTTCATTTTCTTTTTTGAACCACTGTCCTTTTATAAACTGAGCCAATGCTCCGTGTTGAAGGCCGTACCTTGACCTATAATGGTTTACTTTTATAAATTGTAACTTGGATGGAGAGTTGTCTCATTGGCACTCATACCACATCTTCCTATATCTATTTGACATTTTCGAAATACCAAGGATTTTCTACCCAAGGAATAGATTATTTAACTTCGTACTTTATTTGGCCTTTTTAACTATTTTTATTCGAGCGTCACTGATGATTCTTTGTAGACTTTACTCGCGTCTGGCGTACAATATGTTAATCCTGGTATTTTTTTTTATATCTACATGTCTTTTTTATATAAATTGATTCTTTTGAGAGTTTGTTCAGGTATTCATAAACCTTCTGAAAATAAGATATTCTTCAAAACCAAGTTTCCCTGTAAAATATTTGGATTGATTTAAATAAAATCAGGAAATCCTTAAAATTCGATATATTTCATGAGACCAAAATAAGTCTCTATATAAGAAGTCCAAATGAAACTGGTGTGTTACTCTCAAGAAAAATATACGAAACCTTCTTATAAGTTGCATGCCACAGGGTTTCACTTCACATGAAAAATGGACTTTAAATTTATCTGTACAACATCTACCATGAGTACAGATAACTTCAATAATGAGTTAAGAATATGAAAGCATCCATGCTGGAGACAAAATATAAGATGTGATAGATAAAATAAATGCATCCAGATTATAAAGCAAACTGAGTGCTTAAATTTATATTGCGATTGGTTTGTGCAATTTGCATTATACATCCGGTTTGTAGAAACTGGGATTTGCAATAGGATTATAAAAAAATGATGTACAATCCCAAGTATTAAAATGAAATAGTCGAGCTTTAAAATGTATATTCAAATAGTAGCTGTATATACACTTTTCTATTCACATCTATCCAACATTGCTTTCAACTGACTTGTGCAAGAATGTACACACTATTACATATTTTTAATAAAGGTAGTTTAACTTCATCATTATCTCCTTCTATCCACAGTCAATTATTATTTCAATTCAAAAGCAAACAAAAAAAATCAGCAACAATCTTTTGGTGACCAGTCAGCGGTCTTAGGTTCACGTATTGCTTTTCTTTTTTTAAAGAAAGCAACTTCTTTGGACAATAATGTTCCTCTGGTACCATCTTACGGTGTTAATATATCCCAACTCGTTCGTTATGCCCCCGACTGTAGTGAAGTTTTGGATTTCAATGAGCGTAATCTATGTAAATTACTGGTAAATTATTAAGTCAGGGATTTCGTTACCACAAATTACTTAAAACCTTTACTAAATTCTTCCATAGATACAAAGATTTGGTTTGCAAGTTTGGCTGTACCTGTAAAAAACTTATTTCAAACGGAATAGCACATCCCAGAGACATATATACATGTCTCTGCACATCCTAAATTTTACGGTGATGTTGTTTACCGAGCCCGGATATTTATATACGATCCGAGTAAACTTATCAATCATTTAAACAAACTTATTCTAAAAGCTTACCAATTCAACATTTAGATCTTTGAATATTGTTTTTATTGGAGTAAATATTGATTTTGTTATCAGTAAATTAAAATCATACTTAATAGTTTTGTTATACACATATGCACTTTAACGGTACATGTACAATCTGTCGACACATGTACCTTTATTTTGGAATTGCACAAGGTCATGTTTTTCTCTGACTGTTAATGACATCTTTACACTAAATCCATTGGATGTTGGATGTGTACTGATTGATATTTCAGTCTAAGATACATGATTTTTTTGTATTAGTTGTTATTGGCTTTGAACTAGCTGTCAGTAACTGCGAGTACTCTCAGATCTGTACTTTTAGTGTCCTTTTTGTTGTTAGGGATGAGGGATGGATAAATACCCTGCCACGTCCGGTCTGTGTTTATGGTTTATGTTTTCCTGCTTTGTATTGATCTGATGAGTTAAGCCTTTTTCAACTGATTTTATAGTTTGTTCTAATGTTTTGCTGTTACACCACTGTCCCAGGTTAGGGGGAGGGTGAGTGTTCACAAACATGTTTAACCCCGCCACATTCTTTATCTGCCTGTCCCAAGTCAGGAGCCTGTAGTTCAGTGGTTGTCATTGGTTCATGTCTGTCATATTTGTTTTTCGTTAATTGTTTTGTTATAAATTAGACAGCTAGTTTTCTCAATTGAATTGTTTCATATTTTTCATGTTGGGGCCTTTTATAGCCGACTATATGGTATTGGTTTTTCTCATTGTTGACGTTTGCCTATAATTGCTTACATCCACTTTATTTGAACTTTAGTGGATAGTTGTCTCATTGGCAATCATACCTCATCTCCTTATTTTTATATTAACAAAATCTTTGCTAAAATTCCCTTTTTTCAAATTGACAGGTAACATAGACAACCACTTACAAGGCTCCTGCCTTTCCTTGTTTTGTGGAAATAATAATGAAAGCTCTTCATTCTATATGTTGATGATCTCATCACACAAGTAAAACATCTACTCTTTTAAAATATCCGCACCTTTTGAATTATATATATATATGATAACTCTATGACATACAGTCTCCAGGCCTGACACCATAATATATATATATAATTCGTGGTTGAGGGGGCAGATCTATAAACATTGTTGGGCTAAATTTGAGACGAATTATAAATATATATACTATACAATTTTTGAATTAAATTGTAGTCTCAAAATCAATGAAAATTCCTATTCATTATCCTTTCTCAAAGTAAGCAGGACATACAGTAGATTGTCTTGAGATAAAGTACCTTAAAACAAAATCTTGATTTATTATGCTGAAATAATTGAACAAAGTTTGACTGGAAATTGTTGTTATAATCTGTTTTTCTTAAACATAAGGAGCATGCAGGATGAATATAAAGAAAGATATAGTTATCCAATACACATGTATAACGATTAAAATGAGGTCCCAGATAGGTAAGCTTGCTATAACGTCAGTATTTATCAAAATTGTAATTATATAAAACCTTATAATTGATGCCAAAATATAGGACATTTGTAATTTAATTTGCATGAAATATTTGCCACTGTACATTCATTGAATAACAATCAATCAATCTCAATTTCATATTTGTATCAAGGTTAAACAGAAGAAAAATCCATTACTAAATTGAAACAATATTTTTTTTAACATTATCTCCCCCTAAAACATTCAAAATTAATTATTTTTTTCATTTAGACTAGATAATGCCTAATGATATCTTTAATAAAATAATATCTTTAGACAACTATTTTACAAGCCTTCACTTTGTGTAAATAAAGATAACAATTTAATAATCCATGATGTCCACAATAAACAAAATCATTTTTGTCATACAAAATTGCACTACAAGCATAAATATAATCTGATTAAATCAGCTTTTTTGTTCGGCCCAGATTACAATATGTCCTACAATACAAACTTAGTGAGTTAGTAATCAAACAAACAGCTGATCTGTATCACATTGGCTACTTTTCCCATGGTTTAAGCTTTCTTTGTAGTGAGGAAGGGTGTGGGTCAATTTCTAAAGGTTTTATATCTAAGTCCTTGATTCCAGGTAATGGAAGTCCTTTTTCTATAAAGTCTGCAACATCAGCTAAACTTAAAACTTTATCTAGATTCTCTGATAATTCACTTTCTTTAGAGTCACAAGTATCATCTATGATTTTGTTTAATGGTAGTTCTGTTATATTTGATACAGTTATCTCCCCTTGTTCTGCATTTTTTATTTCTTGATTGGTGTTTCTTTCTCCAGCAGTTTGTGCATTATTAGAAGTAGTTGCTGTCTTCCAATCAATGCTATCATTTGTATTAATTTCGTCTGCAATAATCTTAGTATGAACATCTCTCCTATCACTGCTCTGACTTTCTTCTGTAACAATAATTTGTTGCTATTAATTTAGGAATGACTGTAATATTTTTTCTGTCTATGAAGAAATAACATCAAAAATGTGGTGCACACTGAATAACCCGAGTAGCAGGTTATTTTAAAGTGTGCACCACATTTTTTGTTATTTCAAATAGACAGAAAAAATATTACAGTCATTTCTTATAATTTAATTCTTAATTCCATTTTAAACCGGAGTAAATCATGAAAAAACGTTGATGACGTCGCGGTCACATGACAAAATTATGTCTATGAGCTGATAAACAAAACAACGTCAGCCAATCGGAAGACGCGTTACATCCAAAATTAAATTATATTATCATATAAGTAGGTCATGTATAACAAATAATTTTCTAATCTCTGTAACAACTTGTTTTCTGGTCACTTGATGTTGTATTTTAATTTTGGCATGTTATTGTCCTGTTTTTTAAACTAGGAACAGCTGTCATACAAGTTAGTGGTTTAGCTAGCTATAAAACCAGGTTTAACCCACCATTTTCCTTGGAAAATGCCTGTACAAAGTCAGGAATATGACAGTTATTTTTAACTCATTCTGTTAATTAATTATGTTTGAGTACCGTATTTTTGCTATACTTTTTTAATGATCACACTGTTGAATGTGAACTCTTACTAAACTGTTATATTTAGATTTTCTTCTTTGAAAAATGTGCCTTCAAGTCATTCTATCATAGCCAAATCAAATAAAGAACTTCAGTTACATAATGGATATGTAAGTTCAATGAAAAGGCACTTAGTAATTCATAAGGGTTCTCAAGTCAAACTTATCAAATAATATAGCAATGAAAACAAAGGGGAAGTAATTCAAGTTTCAATCAAAATTCTGATACCAAAAAAACTTGTGACAGTTAGTCAAGTTCCACTATAAAAAACGAATATTCTATGTACAAAATTGAAATACTAATTATTGATGTAATCAGCTGTTTTCAATTTGATTTTAACTATATTAAAAAAAAAATTCTAGGAAATATTTTTCTTTGTCGATGGTGAAATATGGAAAGATCTAGCCGATCAAATAAACTTTCTTCTAATGTGTAAGTTACTTAAACCAACCTTTATCTGTTTGTTTACTAAGCCATATTTTGAAATCATTCTTTTTAACTGGATGGAATGTTCTGAAATTAATCAATGTAACCTGGTAACCATAAACTATCGAAGAATTTCTTAGCTATACAAATATTACTTGTACTAAGATTTTAATTTTGACATGTTATTGTCCTATTCTAATGATCACGCTGTTGAATGCCTTGTTCCAATTCAAGATGAACAATAGTATTAATAAATGTACAATTCCTTTAACTTTGTGGGAACAGAAAAATCCTGGTCCTGACATGTTGAATTATAAAAAAAATATATATATAAAAAGCCTTCAATATGTGCATGTGCCATGTCAGGAAAAAGGTAGGAAGCCACCAAGCAGGCGATAAAAATTGCAATTCTATGACTGATAATGACCATAAAACAGACGACAAGAAGACAAACATAAGTATACAAATCATTACACAGAATCTAAAGATTGAGCAATAAAAAAAAAATCAAAAGATTCAGAGGTGAATTTAGATGCTGTCATCCTGGATGCAAGAATTTTTGTTTTATCTGCATGTACCTTCAAGAAATTTATACTGGAAAATTCAAAACAAAAAAAATTTGGTTTGGCAACTGTGGCCTACAGTGTTATAGGCCTAGGCTATCATCTCTTTTTTTTTACATTTCTATAGACATGTGGTTAATGGCAATACTATGGAAGAGGAGAGATCACTCCATTCTATTGTAAATTCAGCTTATCTTAACAACTAACATACTTTGAGAAATAAAATAATTTAGAGTTCAGAATATCTTCTTCTGTACACTTCTGTCTTTCTTTGATCTTCTGTAATCCATTTTGAAAAGACTTATCATTATCAAAATCATACTGATAAAACTGTTGGTAAATATCGCCGTCTGCTTCACTGTACTCTACACTACTTACTGATGCCATATTGTCTTATCACATTTTTGGACTGAAAAACAATTAAACATTTTACTTTTTTTTAGAGATGGTCAAATAGGATATTATTAATTTGAACAGTTTCATAATACCTAAACAAATCCAATACCAGTAGATTATCAAATCTGTAAAGAATATAAGGTAGGGAAAAGTAAGTTCTGTTTTCATGTTATAAATCGGGGCCTCAGTGGTGAAGTGGTCTAAGTAGTTTATCTACTCCATCACTTGCACAGAGGTTGTGAGTTAGAACACTGCATGTGGTATGTGCATTTTGCTCCAATCCTAACTGACTAGAATTGCCAGTTTTCCTGCCTAAGGTAGGTGGATCTCTACAGGCAATCCAGCTTCCTCCACCAATAACCAGCTGTCATGATTTAACCAATAGTGCTTTAAGTGATCATGTCATAAATCAACTTCTAATTCTTTCTTGAAAATTTGTATCTGATGATGAGAATTAATTATTTTGTTTCTTTTAAATTACATCTATTATCATCAGTGGTATATATGTAAGATGATCAACCATGACACATCATCACAATACCTCATAATAGATAAATATAAGTTATAACTAGATATAGGAAGATGTGGTATGAGTGCCAATGAGACAACTCTCCATCCAAGTAACAATTTATAAAAGTAAACCATTATAGGTCAAGGTACGGCCTTCAACACGGAGCATTGGCTCACACCGAACAGCAAGCTATAAAGGACCCCAAAAATTACTAGTGTAAAACCATTCAAACGGGAAAACCAATGGTCTAATCTATATAAAAACGAGAAACATGTTTGAACTACATAAACAGACGACAACTACTGTACATCAGATTCCTGACTTAGGACAGGTGCAAACATTTGCAGCGGGATTAAACGTTTTAATGGTACCAAACCTTCTCCCTTTTCTGAAACAATAGTATAACATCAGAACATATAACTGTATGTTAACCAGGGGTTAAATGTCAACAATTACCAATTTAACACCAGACATCTTAATATTTAAAAAAGATATACATATTCCTTAATTATGTAAGATGATAATACACATACATACATTTAACTGCACGTGAACCATGTTGAGCAGAGATTGCTTTATAAGTAAGTAAGTAGATCATTTATTATAGTGACATGTGTAGCATAAATAATATTACAAATCAATAATACGATAAAAAATTTAAATTGCACCAGGCCCATTTGGACCTATAAGTCACTTTAAACTTAATGCTCATCTTTTGACATCCTACAGCTGCCTTTTCAGAACTTGCTGGGACCGTGGGACCAGGACCAAAGTAAGGTTTTTAAAGGCTGTCAGACTTCAGAGCATTTTCTTACTAGTACCATGTATGATTATAGGTGTAATATCACTGTTGTTTTTCCCCCTATTAGTCTTTGTTAAATTTACCATTTTCAAAAAATTGTGCAGAATTTATCTTTGTTTAAAATGAAGAAATACTTGGCATGAGTAAAGTTTTATCCTGTCCAGTACTATTCACAAAATTTCTCAAAACATTTCATTGCATATAAGAAAATAACCACCACTGGAAGTCAACCAATCAAATTTTCACCCCTTTTAGTCCTGTGTACAAGCTTTAGTAACCATGTAACCTCAAGTTTCCAAAATATTCTATAGAAACACCAAATAAAAAAATAATGGTGCTTTGAAACACCCAAGATATATGTTTATGACTCAGAAATTTTTTACTGCAATGAAATGTAGGATTAACTTCCCACAACTGTCAAATTCAAGGGAATATTTTTTTTTTCAACCCTTTTTCGTATGCAACCGGATGTGACGTACTATGATTTGGTGGTATTACACCTATACCTTTACATGAGTCACAAAATTAAAGAATAATATGTCACAACTGTTTTTTAATTATGACTTTCAAGTTGTTTAAATAGATAAAAAAGAAAAAAGATACCAAGAGAGCAATTAAAATCCATAAATAAAATAGAATAGACAGCACTGTGGCTAAAAGGAAACAAAGAAAAGACAATTGTACAGAATAATTATATCTATTAAAAATCACCTTAACTCATTTTTGTACAAAATTCAGTGTACTTACAAGAAATATGGTAATCCCTTTAGGGATTCTGAAGCCAGAGTGATTTTCTGATTTGGCCGCATCAGATCAGAAAATTGCTCCGGCCTCAAAAGTGATTAGAAATATGGTACAAACTAGTCATATTAATACTTTGTCCAGTCTACTTTTTTAAAAATTAGTATTCTTTTTCATCCTTGTATATTGCATTTATTATTTATAGAATAACTAATCCAAGAATTCAAATATATAAAAATATTCAATAGTGAACAAACAACACATTAATTCATGAATGCACATAGAACAACATGAGTTAATTTTCTATGCGTTTTGATCTGGGAGTATAATAGTCCCAGAAAAGTCTATGTTTTAACAGTTGGCAGGTACATGTGAAATTTTCAGATTTAATTTAACAGAGAAGTCAAAGTATTTCATTGCAACCAATGTAATGAATTAATGTATAGTTTGTCTCTATTTTGAAATCATCTTTCAAAACTTCAATTTTTGAGTAGTCCCATGCAAGTCATAATCAAGCTCACTTCTGATCTACTAGAACCAGTAACATCAGCAAAATATCTCGGCGTAACCTTACAGTCTAACTTAAAATGGAACAATCACTCAGACAACATCATATCAAATGCAAATAAATCTCTTGGCTTTCTGAGGAGAAACTTAAAAGTATCAAACACCAATATCAAATCCCGTGCATACCAATCCATAGTGAGACCAAAACTTGAATATGCCTGTAGTTTATGGGATCCACATACAACAGAATATAAAAATAAGCCAGAAATGGTACAGAGGCGAGCGGCCCGTTATGTATGTAACAACTACCACAACACCAGTAGTGTTACATCCATGTTAAACGAACTACAATGCCCTCACTCACTGAGCGTCGCCTCAAAACCAGACTAATTATGTTCTATAAAGTCATACATGGACTCATCGCAATTCCATCACTAGTCCTTATACCATCAGATACTAGAGCAAGAAAATTACATACCCAAACATTTCGGCAAATATCCACCTCTAAAGACAGTTACAAATGGTCATTTTTTCCGCAAACAATCATCCAATGGAACATGTTACCACAAGTTGTAGTAGCATGTCAAACAATTGAAACCTATAGAGATCAGTTGACACCAACTGTTCTCCACAACATAAATTAATTCTATAAATACCAATGTACACATTTTTTTTTTTTTTTTTTTTTTTTTAATCACTTGTTGTCTTTGTTTCATGTAAGTATCACCAAGTATTCTACAAATTTAAAGATAAATTTTTTTGTTCATATATAATTTTAATCATATACTCCGCGCATGCAACAGTTCATAATCTTCAATATAAATGAAGCTGTAACTGTATACCAGAAGAAGAAAAGAAGAAGAACCAATGTTTTGTCACTGTAATACGTCCTGAAACTATAAATATGAATGTAGGACAGGACAAAAAGTCACAGGACAAAAAGTCACAATTCAGTTTTGAGATTATTTTTCTTTGAATAACACAGTTTTGATAAAATCTATTCTATTTTGGCCATGGTTATATTTTTTCAGTTCCTTACCCAATACCGCAGGCACTTGTTTTCTATCCATGGCAAGATCTACTATCCTCTATATATTACGAGCATATAGGGACAGTAGATCTTGCCATGGATAGAAAACAAGTGCCTGTGCCCAATACCGACAATATGATATATGTAACTCTTATGGAAAAACTGGGCTGTTATATTTGTGACTGTTTTGAATCAAGGAGATCAGGTATGCATATTGACACTAAGTCAAGTAAATGATTTGAGAATGAATGCATATAATGTAATTTTATTCTTTTATTCACAATATATATGTGGTTTTTGGCTCTGATTCTGACCAATGCTAATATACTAAATATATATTTTCAAGTGACTATTATTGTTGTTGTTACCAATTATGTAAATCAATTGTATCTGATTTTATGCCCTTTATGGGCCCTGTAATTTGGGAAATAAAAATATTCTATTCTATTCTATTCTATATATACAGCCATGTCATTAAAAAAAAACCTCCTACCCCGACCAGAATATCAAAATATTGCCCCCTTACATTAGTATACATAGTTGATAATATTAAATATAATGGTTCAGTTTGTTAATTCCAAAAAGGACCTGTCAACAAAGACAAAGTCAAAATCTATAACGGAAGTTGGTATCAGGGTTAAAATATAGGACGGAAATTAAGACGTTCAAAACATGAAGAAAAGCAAAAGCAGCTGATTATTATTACAGAACCAACATGGGTATTTTTGAGGTTGGCATTTTGTTAGCAGTGACGTTTAAAAATGTTGTCACTTAATTTTATATCAGATATTGAAGTCTGTAAAGTTTCAGACATGTCAGAGGCTGCTGTGCTTACATAACACAAAGTTCATAAGAATGAATTAACCTGATACTAATACTAATATCTATTGGTTCCAGAATGAAGCAATTCAAGATGGCAATAATATTACATATATCTTACATATAATCACTTAAACTTTCCATGAAATATGGAATATGTCTTTCCCCAATTTTGATTTGAATCAATGATTTGTATACATGTATAGTAAGTCTTACTATACAAATCCTTGCTTGAAAAAATCTTATTATATATAACATATTATTCTTGTCGCCTCTTGTGTGAGCCATAAAAGTGTCCTGTTAAAAAGTGTCCACCTGGACACTTTTTCACAGAAAAGGTATATTTACAAAAAAAATGTAAATGTGTCCGATGCTATGAAAAAGTGTCCATTCAATCAGACATAATTTCATGATAAAATACTATTAAATTCTGTCCTGTAAAGGTTGATTTTCAATAAGAGGACACTTTTTCACAGTAAAAAGTGTCCTTTAAAGAGAGATAATTAAACAGTCACTGAAATGGTTTAGCTATATTTAATTTTCTATTACTAAAACAAGCCAATTAAGAACCAGTTATAATTTGATGATAAACAAAAATGAAAGGTGTTGAATTCCAAAGCATTTTCAATTATCTAAGCTATAAAGGTAACAACTAAAAGTATCCACCAGCCTCAACTGATAATGAGAAAAGAACTATCAGGTTAATTACACATGGTGGTGATCACATTTTGTATGAATTCAATACGCCAGTTTACATGCCATGTTTTAATAGAGACAAAACCCCCATGCTAATTTTAAAACTTCAATTTAGATAAAGAACTGAAGATATGTATACATTTTGTAGGTATTGAGAAGGGACACTTTTTTTACGTGAAATACTGTCCTTTCTGTGAAGGACACTTTTTCATATGAAATACCGTCCTTTCTTTAAAGAACACGTTTTCACATCTGTGGACACGATAGTCATAGGTAAATATTGTCTGGGCAATATTTCATAATAACATTATGTCCTTGGACACAATTTAATGTGAAAAAGTGTCTGGTGGACATAAATTCATGGCGAACAATTTTAAATCCTACAAATGTTGATGACTTAAGTTATCAAATAAAAATAAGAATGAAGACCATTTCTGATTTGATGGGGACTTCAAATGCAGTTGATACAAAAGCATTATGGTATATAAGCTTTCTCATCTGCTTATTAAGATTCTTATAATCTTTAGATTTTCTTTCTGTAAAGACCTCCCTGTTCATGCCTCAATATCAATTAATAAAACAATATTAAGTTCATATTCAATATATGTCTCTAATGTAACACATTACACATTAAGCAACCACCTTAATACTGAAAGGTTGATAGTGATCACCATCATACTTTTAAAAGTCTCATATCTGGTAGGGTTTGTGTGTGATATCTTTATATATACACGTATATAGGACAGTGTATCACATTTATGCACAAAAATCATTACATTTGCACACAGCTTTTGATTACATTTGCACGCATTCTTTTACAGGTAAACTCAAATAAATACAGGTAGATTATACTTATTTATATAACTATTTTTTTTTAGCAGGATAAGTTCATTTCATGATGCACAAGCACTTAGTCCTGGAAATATATACAGAAAAAAATGTAAAAACAGGGCTAATCTAAAGATTAAAGGTTCTGAGTTTACATGTGTAACAAGCTGAATATTTGAAGCCAATTGCTTTTTGAAAACATAAAACGCAAAAATACATGGATATGCTGAATAAAATTGCTCATTGTTGTGAGCATGGAATGATTACGGGCCATTTGTAGGACGCCTGGATTCTGCTGACAGCAGTGATGCCCAAAGACTTTGCAGAAATAGGGTATCTAGTGAAGTACCTTTGCAATTATTTACATTGATCCATCATGAAATATCCCCTGACTTAAATGTTCTGTCGATACTGAAAGTGAATCCATCACACACTAATGATTTTCCCTGATTTGTTTCTGACAAACGAAACTCCATGCTGGTGCCTTGATGCAACTTAAAAAACTGACTTAAATTATTTACTAAAGCAATTACTATTCTATAAAATTAGGAAAGATAATATTTTTACTCTATAGTTTTCACAGTTAAGTTACATGAATGGCTTAAGATAATACAGAATTTCTCATGATCACTTTAATTTTTCTTTATACTTCAATATGAAAAATTTATAATTTGAATTTACAAATATTTTCAAAATTCACAATAACTATAGTTATATTTATTAAGATTTATCTTTATTTTTACCTGTGTTACCTGTGAAATGAAGGCGTGCAAATGTAATAAAAAGCTGCGCACAAAAGTAAAAATATTTAATCCCAAAATGCGTGTAAATGTGCCCAAACAGGAAGCCTTTACATGTTACCCTAAAGTTAAATGCTAAAAAAATATTTTTTTATTAAAAATGAAAGGTTTCCATTATTCCAAGACATGGGAAGGAATTTCAGATTGATGGGGAAAATTAACTTTAAACAGATTAAATCCCTTTGAACTTCAAGCACAGCTAATGAAACTAATAACCGTTGGATCTGAACTTTTAACAAATCTGTACCTTTATATCAATTCTATATTACAGGCTATTCCATGGAGTTTTTATGAGCAAGACACTATCAGATTCTGGGTACATTATGGTTTGGTGATATTAGGACTGTTGTTGGCAGTGATCACATTTATTGTTCAGTGGCTGAGTCCAGCTCCATATGGTAAACATGAGAGAACTGTAAGTTCACTATATAAACAGTTACCAATGTTTGAGTGACTGATAACTTCAATATTTTCTTTAACAATCTTTGGAACCTGCATCAGAACTTCATTGGACTTGAATTTACAAATTTGTTACCATGGTTACCTGTCCTATGTTTCTGAAGTTGAATAATTAATAGATTGGCCTATTTATATTACATGCAAATATCCTTGCCCAATCTGCTTAGTGTGAACTATCACCAACAATGAACATCTATCGTCTTTCTTTAAACGTTTCAGATAACCTGCATTACGTTTCTGAGGAAATGTCCCCTTAAGGAGTAATATAGTTTACTAGGGTGTAATTGTTGTGTTAGAAAGTATGCTAACTGGGATGTTATTTTGTATTTCAGGATGCGAACTGGGGTGTAATGATACCACAAAGAATTGGACATATCTTATCTGATGCTGTTCCTGGTGTTTTATTGTTTATAATTGTAAGTAAATGAAATTTTGTTGAAACTCTAATTAAATATGACATGCAACTATAGGTTTTATTGCATGATGTCTGGGGTCAGTTACAATGTACAAGGTTGTTTTCTGGTGTCATTGGCAACAAATTAGAAAATCTACTTACTGAATTATCAATTTTATAAGTTTTTGATAAAAATAAAACTAACTCGACAGCTCCTAGCTCCTGTTTGACAAGAAATTTTTCTTACTTTTCTTTAATTATATAGTTATACTTTAATTTCCAGCTTTATACAAGTATGGTCGAGATATTGAAAAGTTACCATTCACTCTTTTGAGCACTGTTTAAAAAAATGATATCTTGCATCTTACCAAATAGAATTAAAAACTTAATTGCTATTGCTATCAATGTGAAAAGATAGCCCAATTTTGTATATTTAAAATAATTGATTACCGGGGTACATTTGTATTTATTCATGAATGCTATGATATTTTTTAGGTGTTTTTTGTTTATGGTGATGCCAGAGGCTATGCTAACTATGTCTTCCTGTTACTTTTCTTAGCACATTATATTCATAGGTACAATATATATATAATTTTCTTTAAATATCCACATTACTTATGAAGATTATAAATAGGGGTACGGAGATGGGATTATTTGCACAGAAGAATATGACATACAAGTGTGATTTCACGATGAGCATATAATAGAGTATAAAGTTTTAATGGAACATTTTAACATGTTTAGGATAAGAAATGTTGAATAACAACAGCATCAATGCCCAATAACTTATAAAATAAAGACTGTCACTAAACTCTATCTTTTTATGATTAAAATGAGATGTGGGGTATATATGCATCAGTGAGATAGCAACCCAATGACAAAAACAAAAAAGGCATCTAGTCCAACAACTAATCAACAGGTGTCTTTACAGTATACTCTAAATCATTCAAAGTATAAAAAGGTTGTGATTAATTAAAACAAAAACTATCAAAGATCTTACATCAAAACCAAATTTATCCATACTTTGTAGTGCATGTAATTTCCTTCCTATGATTTTAACATTTACTTCTCTTTTTTTAGAGGAATACTACATCCTATAGTCATGAGATACAGAAATCCATATGTTGCTTTGGGGTAATTATTACTGTAAATTCAGAAATTATTGCGATGTTTTTATTATTGCGAAAAATGCGACAGGGTTATAATCGCAATAATTTAAACTCGCATTTTGAAATTTTTTATATGAATTAAACAGGATTTTTCTCAATATCGCAAAAATTAAAATCGCATTTTAGTCTAAAATGACAAAATCGCAATAATAAATGCACGCAATAATTTCTGAATTTACAGTATAATTATGTTTTTGCAAAGCAGTAAATATTCATAGCCGTGCTTGTTTTCTTATCGTCATAAAAGTATTTAAACAAACTGTCAAAATACCAAATGAAATTGTGGAAACAGAGCTCTCATTTAAGCTCAATAGGATTAGAGAGTTGTTATTTACTGTATGATGAAACAAATGTTCAAAATATTTTTAAGTCACTTTCTATGTACACCTATGTATATTGGTATGATGACTGATATAAAAATTACAAGATTTGTATGGATGTTGTTTTTCAGCAGAAAGCTAGAGATAACAAGAACAAAAAAATAACAGAAGGGCTGATCTAGGGTTCGAGGATAGGGGAGTGTTAATGTCCATAGTAAAAAATATCACCAAGCGTATTGATGCATAATTCTTTTTGACAATTTCATGTGAAAAAGTGATTTTTTTTCCCGTATCTCCCACTGGATGAGAGATAATAATTCAAATTGTAAGTCGTTTATTTAGTTTTGTAAAATTACGTCTTTTTTGTTATATTTTTCTTCTTATAAAGTATATGTCATGCTGAGCATGTTAATTTACATTACCCTAGAGATGCCTTTCTATTTGTAGTATAACTTTAGGAGGTTTCTTCCCAAACTGCTTGTACCATTTTGTGAATGCAGATTTTATAGGATCAGCCTTTTACAACAATAATTATTTCTTGTGAGTACATGTATTATATTTTGCTGAAGCTCAAATACGTTAACATACAGATTTACAAATAAAATCAGATATGGTGTATCATACCTCATGAGACAATGGCACAACAACTTAAAAAACATGAAAAGTATTTGGGAATATATAAAGGTTGGATTTAATCAGTACATTTTAATCAATTATTCTGACATACTGAGAATTAGTATCTTTAGATACTGATGCAACATTTTATATAAAAAAGAAACATTACCGGTAATGTCAATTTAAGGTAATATTTGCCACGGCAATGGTCTATTAGGGTTACAGGAATTTGATCCCAAGTAGTAATATATTTTGAAGGAAGTACAAATTAAAGAGGAGCCTATTTATCAATAAAAACAACTAGCATAACTTTTATGTATGAGATGTGGGGTTTATACATCAATACACCAATGAAACGTCAACCTATTGACACAGATAAAACCAAAAGACCTCTTTATAAAAAATAAGGAGATTGTGGTATGATTGCCAATGAGACAACTATCAAGAAAAACCAAATGACATTGAAGGAAACATTTGCTGGTTATGGTACAAACCTCATTGGCTAGAGGTATAGGGGAGGGTTGAGATCTCACAAACCATGTTTAACCCTGCTGCATTTTTGTGCCTGTCCCAAGTCGGGAAACTCTTACCTTTGTTAGTCGTGGTGAATTGTATGTTTCAGGGTTCAGTATGGCATCAATTTCGTTGAACTAGTATACATTATTGTTTTGGGACCAGCTGAAGCCCGCCTCCAGGTGCTGGATTTTCACGCTGCTTTGAAGACTCATTGGTGGCCTTTGGCTGTTTTCTGCTCTTTGGTTGGGTTGTTGTTTCTTTGACACATTCCCTGTTTTCATTCTCTCTTCTACTCTGCAGTGAATAAATCTCATACTGTATATTAATATATAAAAGGCCCAGCACAAAGTGAAACAATTCAAATGAAATACCAAGGCTGGACTTGTACTACAGCAATAAATAAAAAACAATAACAGCTGATAGCAGCTAACGGCAACCACTTGATAAAAGGCTCCTAGCTTGGGATAGGCACATGTTGTGAGGTTAAATACGTTTGTGAGTGCCCAACCCTCCCCTTACCTAGGACAGTAATAAAACAACACAACGTTAGAAATGGAAAATTCAGTTGGGAATGGTTGATTCATCCAATGGTACTTTAATAGCACGAAAACAAATAACGACGAGTAACTCAATAGTGTATGCTAGTAAAAAATTTCAAATCTAAAATATTTTTAAAGTTGGTTCTGTAACGGCTTGTCAGAACTAAATGATTTGAGTACTGTAAATTCAGAAATTATTGCGTGCATTTATTATTGCGATTTTGTCATTTTAGACTAAAATGCGATTTAAATTTTTGCGATATTGAGAAAAATCCTGTTTAATTCATATAAAAAATTTCAAAATGCAAGTTTAAATTATTGCGATTATAACCCTGTCGCATTTTTCGCAATAATAAAAACATCGCAATAATTTCAGAATTTACAGTATCCTGTTTAAAATTGCATTTAAACTTATTTTCATTGCATTAATTGGCTGCCAAAAGAAAATTGCTCTATGTGACTGCTGTTTAGTTACATGATTGTTGATTTATAGTGTAGATAAGTTTGCAGCTGAAAAGATAACTAACTATAACTTTTGTATATGAAACATTTTACTGTGAAATAGATTTTGGTGTGAAATTTTGTATAATTTTTCCCTCTAATTTTATTTATATGATTTTTTTTTTAAATGTGAAATAGATTCTTTTTTGAAATGTTGTATTATTTACCTAAATATTTATTTGTAGTGATCCAAGATTTATTATTGGCATTGTCTTGTTTGTTGTTGGATACATCATAAATAAATGGGCGGACTGGAAGTTACGATCGTTACGGGAGAGGAAAGGTGATGATGGTACATATGACTTAAAAATACCTCCACCCGAATTTTTTTTCTCATCCTAAATGGATTTCATAGAATCAAGCAGCTCATTTTATTTCAGCAGATAATTAGATATATATAACCAAGAAAATCTATCATCTTATATATTTTTCATAAGGTTCAACTGTTCTTAAAAAAAATTTCTGGATCACAATATCTTTTTTTGGTTTTTTAAAATTTGGCTTTTTTGCCTTATAGATTTACATCTGAATGGGCTTTAATGAATCTAATAGAATTCAGAATGGCTTTGTGTTTGTCTTTCATCAATAAATGGCCATATCTTGGTCATTATCTGCTTATCATTTTATAATTAAACTTACTGTAAGAAATTGTGGGAGGGGACAATTTTTTCTCATTTCAGATTTAAGAAATTAAAAAGAAAATTTTTTGGTTAAAAAAGGGCCAGGGGTGTGGGGTTCAACAGCATAGTATATTGCACAAAAGCAAAAAAAAGTGGGTAAATTTTTTTTTTTAGGGGGTGGGTCAATTCGCAACAGCAAAGTGTATTGCACGAAGGCAAAAAATTGAATATAAATTCAAAATTATATAACTAATTATAAGTTCTTTGACTACATTTATTCTGTGTCAGAAACCTATTATGTGTCAAATATTTAATTACAATCCAAATTCAGACATGTATCAAGCGGGAATATTGTGTCCATTTTTGACCCAACTGTTCAGGGTTGGACCTCTGCGGTCGTATCCAGCTGCGCTCAGCAAAGCAATTTATTAAATTCAGCCATCCTGTAATAGCACATTTAAAAAATAATTGGTCACATAATTCTGTGTTATACATCAGCAGTTTATTAAAAATAGATATAGACTTCTCTTAAAAAGCATTTATCTACTTGCAGATTCTATGAAAGCTATCCCCCTATTATTTTGATTTTCTATTTAGAACTATCTTCCTGTAATCCCAAAAGTTTTATATATTTTTGTTCATTTATTTACCCTCTATATTTTTTTTAAGGATTCAGTTCTTTAGCTTTACCAGGCTATTTTTGTCCTCTGATCAGGATTTTTCACAAAGTTGAAAAGTCAAATTAAGATATTAGTAGGGATGCATAAAATCAAACTTTTTTCTTTTAAAATTCATTTCATGTAAATTTGGAAAACTTCATAAACAGATTTATCATATTTTGTATCAACTCTTTAACTTTTCAAAAACAGGCGACCAAAAATTACTGGTTAAAATATTCTCACTCAAACTGGAAAGCAGATAAAAAAATTGATTGAGCCTGGAAAAATTGCTTCAACAAATTCTTTGATATGACTTTGTGAATGGCAGTACTTCAAATTCATAAATTTTTGCATACATTTATTATTGTGAATTCTTAACAATTGACAAATATGTAAGATAAATCATTACAATTTCTGGAAAATCTGCATACAAATAATGCTAACAAAATTTACAATGCAACTTTTAATTTTTGCAAAATCTATCATGTCGCATCTTTAGCAATAATAAAAAATGTCACAAAATTTCTGAATTTACAGTATTATGTAAATAGACAAGAGATAAATTGCTGATAAATAATTTGTACTTTAGTGATATGATTCAGAAGGAGTTATATTTTCTTCAGTTTAATGTTTTTTTGTATATTATACAAAAGTGACAGCAATCATACATTAGGTATAGACATATCCTTCTTTCCCAGTGAAAGTAAGCTACTAATTTTCGAAACAACTTATGCATCCGTTTAAAAATAAGGAGATGTGGTATGATTGCTATGATTGACAGTTATCAATAGACCAAAGGACAAAGAGGTGAATAATTAAAGGTCACCATACAACCTTCACCAATGAGCAAAACCCATACCCTAACGTAAGGTATAAAAGGCACAAGCACGAAGCAATTCAAAAGAGTAAACCAATGGCCTGATTTATAACACAGCAATGAACAAAAAAAAATATCACAGATACCAACAAACAAAAACCATTGGATGCCAGGTGATAGGCTTGGAACAGGCACACAAAGAATGTCCCAGGATTAACATTTTTTGTTTGTGCTCAACCCTAAACACTGGACAGTGGTTGTAGGATAATATAAGAATACACCGTAAAAATCAGTTGGAAAGACATTTCATATTTATCAAGAAAGATCAATGCAATGGTCAAGGTTATTAATATTAAGAAAAAAAATTATGCTGTTGTTAATCCGCATGTTAGAAAGTCTGTTGCTCCTGTAAAAATATAATTCATCTAAGCTATATCTGATATGGTAAATTGAACTGAAAAATCATTTTATTTTCTACATTAAAGGAAGTACTGGATATTATATACCATATGGAGGATTGTTTGAACTGGTATCCTGCCCTAATTATTTTGGTGAATTTGTAGAGTGGGTTGGCTGGTAAGAACACTTATAAATTGATATCATGAAACAAAATTAGAAAAATTATAATATAAAAATGGTACATTTTGTAAATTGAACAGCACAAAGCATTTCTGATTTTTTTTAAAACTTGAGATTGGTTAAAGGGAAACTCCGCAAAAAAATGAAAAATTTATATTTTGTTCTTTAAGCATAAAAAACCACATGTTCATAAATAAAAAACTTTTATTCTCTATGAAAAGAGATCAAAATCGATTTTTGAAATTCACTATCAGTTCTCGACATATCGCCATCTTGTCAGCATGTTCGATCTAAAAAGTCACGTGATATCTATAAACCACAAAGACCGAAATGAATCAGGGATTTACCGACAGTGCGTTAAAAACTCCCATCATCAATCGGGGATTACCGTAGATGATCACCCATTGTGAAAATGTCTTATCAAGCGTACGGTTGTTCTGTCTGACAAGATTATGACAAAAGTCTAAATAGTTTTCCCAAACCCACAAAAAAAGAAAATAATTATGATCTATAGCAAGCACAAGTTGATGTGTGATGACCATTTTGAACAATCTTGTTTCGAGGGAGATTTGATGGTAGTTATAATTTTTTTAATAACAAAATAACCTAGCAGTTCTGATAGCTATAGTTATCAAATCCTTATATGATAAGATCTCGTTGATTCAATAAAATATAGATTTGATGAGGAAGAAAAGTTTCAATTAAAAGAAAGACAAATGCAGTGTTCTTGTAACAATCACTGATTTACAAAAGATTCATTAGTATGCCTCTTTTAAGTGCATTGGTTTATATAAAGAATAGTTCCGTACTTAGTCAAGATAATTTTTTAAATTAATAAAGTTATACGATAAATAACATTTTTAAATTATGATATTTAACGGATATTGACGAGGAGCAATGTTAGGAAGAGGTTTTAGCTAAGACAAAATATGTTGATATAGTATAATATTCCCAGGTTATAGAAATGTAAATATCGAAATATTGGACATCTCAATTTTTTTATCAAAAAAGTTTTTTAACTAATCTTTTAACTATATCAAATTGATACGGGATCAATTCGGAACAGTCACTTATAAAGACACTTTACAGTTAAATGCGTGACCCTATCTGGTATGTTTGGAAAAAATGTATATTTTTTTTTCTTTTTAAATTTTATTTACGTTATCTTATTTTATATATATATTTATTTTGGCTTCCTCCCGAATTGATAATAGGTATGTCAGAATTATTGATAGATGTCGTGTCAGAGCGACACATTCAGTTAGTTATCCTAAGGACGTATATTAGATACACGTCCTTGGTTATTCCAGTGACATCCTGTCGACTAAAAATTCCTATTACACAATATATTATACAGGTTCATGCATGGCTTCTTAATTGAGGTACCCGACGTGCACAGGTAACATTTATTGAACCACATATATTTGTGTTTGACGTTATTTATCTTGTGCGTGTTTGAAATTATAATTCCACCTGTTAATGAATGATGTTCTGATAATAATATTATCCACTATTTTTGCTAATAATAAGTTTAAAAATTTTATAAACATGATCTTTAAAAAAAATTGTGAAATACTGTTTTGTCATGATTCTGGACCCTTCTTTTGAAAAAAAATTCTTCACGCAAATGCAAGCTTTTGACGATTGGCAAACATGCAGTATAAAGTAATGCAGCACTTATAGTCAGTATCAAATATTTATTTATTGACGATAAGAGAGCTCCTTCTATGTCTAATGTCCCTATCTTTATACGGATTAGAACGACAGGGGAAACAGACACTGTAAAGGAACGGAGATAGAGTGGCATAGTGAACAAAAATAACCGATTAGAGAAAATTATACTACATAGAGAATGATCGACGAAAAGGGTAATAGTTATTGTAAAGGAAAAGAGATAAAGAGAGGCATAGTAAAAAAATGTTTGCTAGACAAAGTTACTGCTCGCTTTGATATTTTTATACAAAATCACACATCGTGTTCCAAATTGGTATTCACGTGCGCTTACTTGATGTGTTAAGTTTCTGCATAGCATGGTTAAAAAAAAATTAAGTATCCCATTTGTTATATCGCAGTGTCACTGTGTTTCTTTGTTCAATTTATTTAGTTTGTTAATGATTATGTAAATAAGAATAAATCTGTATAAAACTTCATACCCGTTTAGTTATTGCCTGTAGACGTTTCATTATTGTTACATTTAATATATATATAGAATCTTTCATACAGTAAAAGATGTGTGTCTGAGTCAAACGACGACATGAAAAGCCTGTATACTAGTACGACTCGATTATAGCATGTAAAAATCCTACTCAATATGGTTGTATTGGAAATCTTTTCAAACAGATAGATAACTCATAGTCCGACATTTATGTAATATTTGCCACATGACGCTCATATTTCTTTCTACTATCATCATCTTATTCATTAAATATTGCTGTAAACATCGATGGTTCACACCCAAACCAAATGGGAGTAATATACCTTTAGAGCTTCTCCGTGGTATACACTTGTCACAAATATATAGACGAAATTCGTTATTGAAGTGAATCTACATCTCACAAACACAATTTTTGAATTACGATTTTGAGTGAACACCCACCAAACCAATACAAAATGGCAAGATATAACCATGCAGGCATTTAGTTTTCGTCAGACACAAGATAAATAATACGCTCATATTGCTTTCTACTATCATCATCTGCTTCATCTGAGACTACTATCAAATATTGCTGTTAACAACGATGGTCCACACAAAAAAAAAAGGAATTATATACAAACAGCGCTTCTCAGTGGTATACACTTGTGAAATATATAGACGAAATTCGGTATTGAGAAGTGAAATTACATCTCACAAACATTATCTTTGAATTACGATTTTGAGTGAACACACACCAAACCAATAAAAACGTATAGCAAGATACATAACCATGCAGGCATTAAGTTTTCGTCAGGAACAAGATAAATAATCGCTCTCATAAACGTACATGCATGCAGTTTATGATATCAAGAATAAGAGGTCGATGTCTGTAGATCATTGTTCAGTTTGTTTACTGACTGTTCAGAGTCAGAGATGTCACTTATTCATTCTTGGAAGCATTCGTGTACCCCATCCGACGATAGGAACTCTTTTCTGATAGTGTTGACAACTATGCTTGTATGGTGATTCTGTTTTTCTGGGCAAGTGGTTGGCCTTCCCTGACCCAACAAACAAACGAACGATACGCTATTAGTCTGCTTTGTCCTTTAGAAAGAACATCTGGAGCTCATCTTCAACGGCGCTTATACCTCAGGAAAAGTATACTAGTACAGCTTGTTTCAAGGAGACAACCTGTTCTAAAATCGTCATTGTCAGCAATACATTACTAAGCTATGCCATTAATTACTACAATTACTATTTTGGATTAATGACGGCTACCCTGTAGAGTATTACACTAAATTATAATATAATATAAAAATTATTATATTTAATTTTCATATGTTCAAAGCGTTAAAGATAATTAGAACACCTCATACAAAAAACAGATCAAAAGAAAAAAAAAAGAAAATAAAAATTTCCAGACGGAATAAACAATTATTTTAATGGCTTAGATTTATAATGAAAGAAATAAATGATAATTGGCATTCTTTTCACAAATAATTATTCTAAGAGATTGTTAGTTGAATTTATTATGTAGGAATGAAATTTTAAAAAGAAGATAAAAAATCATGCATTTTGTACTATTGTATTTTTTCAATAAAAACTTTTAAATTGCAATAGTTTTTCGATTGTTAGCATTTAAACATCGCCAGATTTAAATACAAGTTAAAGAATTCCGGTAAAGTAAATTAAACAGATGTGCAATTATTAATTGGGAAATGTTGAATTAATTTTCTTTTAACTTCATATTTTAATTTTATGCTGATTGCATAGAGCGTAATTGAAAATTGTTCCATTTCAAAATACACTTCCGGAATTAAAAAAATTGAATGTTTATTTTCAATTAATTTATACATTTTAATTATTGTTTCTCTATTGTCATCGGGTATTTCAGCTTGGTGTATTAAACACGCTATACTCTTTCTGTTAATCCATTCAAAATGACAACATTCACACATGTGTACGCTTGAATTCACACCTGTGTACGCCTGAAGCTAAATTGCTGCAAGGTAAAAGTTCAAACGAATTATCCTCAAATCGATAAATAAACAATGACTAATTACAAAATAATATATACACTCTGTTCACAAATATTTTGCCTTGAAATGGTTACCAAAGTTATAACGGTAAATAAAACGTAAAATATTTTCAGTTTAATATCAGTCAAAGTGTTCAACAGATATTTTATGAAAAAATCTCAACAATAATTTATGAAATTAATTCGAAAATATTTATATTTAGATAACTTCATATAGGAAGTTTTATTCAATCAATATAAAACGGTACACACATATTCATTTTCTTTCATTCTTATATTGTGGTTATTAACTACAACCAACGGTGATCTGTGCGCTTTTAATTACATAAAATTCTGATAAGCAATTAAGACTTTAACAGATTTTATTTTTTCCCATGATTCAACAAATCGGGTTTAAACGTCACAACCCAGTGACGTAGGTCAACCAAAAAAGTTACAAGTACTTGATTTTCTCCGTTATTAGAAAGAATATAAATTTAAAACTTTGAGAATGTGTTTTTTATGTTAAGATGAACATATTTAGATGATAAGTAAAAAATCGCGGACTTTCCCTTTAACATCACCAGTTGTAGAAATTCTTCTGCATTTTACTGCAATTATTCAATTAATTTTTCTATTGCATTTTGAAAACTAATGTGAATTTTAGCTTTTTTAAGTTTTCTGAAATTTGGATTGTCATAGCAAGGAGTATCCTTAAGGTTAGATATTGGAGTTAAGATGACATTGCATTGCAAATTATTCATTTGATACTGTTTCCATATTTTACATGCAGTATTTGTAGAATTGATATTAATTTTTTCTTTCTCATCCTGGTCTTTTTGTATACAGGGAGTCATTCATGGAACACATTAATTCCTGATTAAAATGAAGTCTGTTGTCTATATATAAAATGTAATTTATGATGCTATCTCCTTTTAGGTCTATAGCAACTTGGTCAGCAGCGGGATTTGTATGGACAGTATTTGCTTCAGCAACTTTCTTCCCTAGAGCTAGACATAATCATCAATGGTAATACATATATTGAACGTTGTTTTCAATTTAGACTTGTTTATATATATATATATACATTGCTTATACTGTGTACTCTGTAACTTGTAATTTCATTCCAAAATTCATACAATATTGTTCACCAGTTTTGAAAAAATGGCAGAAGATACCAAATGGACAATCACAAATCTTTTATCAAAGAAAAACAAAAAAGGATGAAAAGACAAACAATTCCACAAAACACTACACAGAAAAATTAAGACTGAGCAACACAATCCCTACCATAAAATAGGTAGTAATCAGGGGCGGATTCATGCGGGGGTGTGGCGGGCTTGAGCCCCCCTAAAATTTGCAAAGCATGGGTTGTCCTCAGCTTAATAAAGAATATTTCGATAATTTAGTTCCACCAAATGATTATGATAATCAACCTATTATTTTGAATACTTTTCAATTACAGGTACAAAGAACAATTTGAACATTATTCACCAACTAGGAAAGCTCTGATACCTTATCTATGGTGACATGATCAAATCTGTTATAAGATAGAGATATCACCTTAGGACTGGGATGATTCAGACTGAAAGCATTTATACATCTTGGTATACAAAAGACCAAACTTTTATTCCTTTTAACAACATGGTTTCCATATTTAAGTGCCAATCTGTCTAAGAATCAGGCAGTGGTGAAAACATGACAATCAAAAACCCACTCAAGTTGACATTAATTTATGTTCAAATTGTATAATGGTGCACAAATATAAAATTTGTTTTCTTTGCCTGTTCTGGTAATTCAAGATATAATTTAGCTGAAATGCATTAAAAATTAAAAATTATGGGGAGCTAACTCCTTAATTATATTATCATTCTAACCAAAAGTTATCTAGAGATTTCTCGAATTACCAGACACGCAAAAACAAAAGACCAACCAGTTCTAACTCAGGATGAGGGTAACTTCAAAATAGGATGGTAAGGTCAGTGGTTTTGTTTTACCATGTTTTGATTTTTTTCTAAATTGCCTGATTCTTACAAAGACTGGCACTTAAGTGCAGTTATTGAACATCATTGTGGTTAATATTGGCTACAATCTGTGAAACCACTATTGTTGTTCAAGCAATAATCAGGTCAGCCAACTTTGGCTGAAGTCCATATTGAACAATTAAAATCAGTGTTGATCATGTTTATATGTAATTGATTATAATATCTGTTTTTATGCGTCTTGGCTAGGCTACACAAAAATGTATTGATATAAAACATTGACCTTGAACTCTACCTCATGCCAGTTTATGCTGTAGAGTAAATCAATCTGTGATATTAAATATCAAAGCACAAAATCAGGAATTAGAAATTTAGTTTTGTATAATTTGTAAAAAATAATATAGGTTATTATCTTACCTCCTATACATTTCTAGGAATATGATTGTTTAAAAGCGTCCGTGTGGAGACCGTGTATATTCCATATTAGGTTAGTAGGGAGGCGGGGCTTATTTCATACACGGTTAGTAGTGGTGTTACGTCCCTTTATAAAAACAAAACGGTACTGAGAAAAAATAAAGGTTTCAACAGACGAAGAAATTGATGATGAAGATTGAAATAAATTCATAAAACACATTTAAACCTAACAAGTTGTTATTGTTGGCATCTGCTTTTGTAGGATCAATGGAAGTAGTTTCTTAATGCTAACGGTATTGAAGACTTCGCTCTCACCCCATATGGAATTTACTGACCCCATATATACTGTATTAGGTCACTAGCACACTATGTAACTAATATTATTTGTTGATTGTGGAAGAATATAGATGATATGTGTATGAGGCTAGTGAAGGAGAGAAAATGTAAAGTTACCTACTGAGAATTTTCTCAGTTTCTAAATGGATTTATTATACATATCTGTATCCTGCTATATTTGAAATCATTATCATTAAAACTATTTCTTAAATAATAAAATTAAAAAAACAACCTAGCACAAAATTTTTACCAATATTAAGTGTGGTAAATTATCAGTGCCAAAGTGTTCTATAAAATACAATGCAGGACTAGAATTCTCTCTTTCAAATGGCTGAAAAAAAGGAAGAAATGGTAGGAACTATGTTTGTTTATAAAAATAACCATACATATACAGGCATAACTTCAATATTAAGCAAATTGTTTGGTTGTTCTTTGTTAAGTTCTGCATGATGCATCAGCACATTAAACATTTACAAGGGTTTTTGTTTTTTTACCTGATATAAATATATCTATATTTTATTTATATATTTATAATTATAAATATATTTTTTATACAACATATTACTAGTATTCTATTATTTTTTTATTAATAAAAGAAAGAGAAGATAAAATATTTCATTAATCGTACATGGTTGACTTAATTATCATGAAGGCAGCCATGTTTAATGATATCCATACCCTAAAAAATGTAGTTTGAGAAATTAGGTGGGCAAAGAATGATATGTGTATAGTATATGGTTATGGCACATATTTATTTGTTCACCTTACTTTGTATAGAAAATTGTTGGAGATTTTTTGGTCCCAGAAAGTTAATACCAAAGTCTTTAAAATGGATATTTGCTACTTCTCTGCTAAGCAGCCAGGTGATAAGAGTAAGACTTTTTGACTTATTTGACAAAGAGTTGGATTTATGTATATAAAGGGAGGGGCATATTATCTTATGGACTGTCACTGTTTCAACCTGCATTTATTATACCGGCTCATAATCTGTTTGCTGGTCTAGTTTAAATTGGGTTTATATTCATCTTATCTTGAATATGTCTGTAATATTTGACACTGCATTTATCAACTTATGATAATAAATCCTGAAATGCACATTGAACCCAGTAAACAAACATATTTTATTTTGAGATACAATCTATGCAAATATCAACCCTGGGTGACTGTTATAGTCCTTGAGGATTTCAATCTACCAAGTAATCCATGTTTTTGTGATACATTTTATTGAAGTTATATGTCAATTTCCTAGTTTTTTTGTCGAGCCTGTGACTTTTGTCGCAGAAAGCTCAACATAGGAATAGTGATCCAGCGGCGGCGGCGTTAACTAACTTCTTAAAAGCTTTATATTTTAGAAGGTGGAAGACCTGGATGCTTCATACTTTGCATATAGATGCCTTATGTTACGAAGTTTCCGTCTGTCACATGTCCATTGTCCTTGACCTCATTTTCATGGTTCAGTGACTACTTCAAAAAAAGGTTAAGATTTTTTGTAATGTTAATTTCTTTCTTATTATGAATAATAGGATAACTATATTTGGTATGTGCTTACCTTGCAAGGTCTTCATGCCCGTCAGACAGTTTTCACTCGACCTCGACCTCATTTCATGGATCAGTGAACAAGGTTAAGTTTTCTTGGTCAAGTCCGTATCTCAGATACTATAAGCAATAGGTCTAGTATATTTGGTGAATGGAAGGATTGTAAGGTGTACATGTCCAACTGGCAGGTGTCATTTGACCTTGACCTCATTTTCATGGTTCAGTGGTTATAGTTAAGTTTTTTGTGTTTTGTTCTGTTTTTCTTATACTGTATGCAATAGGTCTACTATATTTGGTGTATGGAATGATTGTAAGGTGTACATGTCCAACTGGCAGGTGTCATCTGACCTTGACCTCATTTTCATGGTTCAGTGGTCAAAGTTAAGTTTTTGAGTTTTGGTCTTTTTTTCTAATACTATATGCAATAGGTCAACTATATTTGGTGTATGGAAATATTTTATGATGCACATGTCAGTCTTGCAGGCTTTATTTGACCTTGACCTCATTTTCAGGGTTCATTGCTCAGTGTTAAGTTTTTTTTTTTATGGTCTGTTTTTCTTAAACTATAAGCAATAGGTCAACTATATTTTTTGTATAGAAGGATTGTAAGCTGTATATGTCTGTCTGGCAGGTATCATCTGACCTTGACCTCATTTTGTTGGTTCATTGGTCAATGTTAAGTTTTCATGGTTAAGTTTGTTTCTTAGATACTATAAGCAATAGGTCAACTATATTTAATGCATAGGTTGATTGTGAGGTGTACATGTCTGCCTAGAATGGTTCATCTGACCTTGACCTCATTTTCATGGTTCATTGGTCAATGTTTAGTTTTCTTGGTTAAGTCTGGTTCTCAGAAACTATAAGCAATATGTCAACTATATTTAGTGTATTGAATGAGTGTAAGGTTGATAGTTGTAGTAAAGCTTTATATTTAGGACTATCAACATAATATCAATGGTTAGTAAAGAAGGTGAGACATTTCAGTGTGTGCACTCTTGTTCTACACCTTTACTTGTTTGTGTTTATTTGGATTGGAGTCCTATTGTTTGAATCCACTTCATTTGAACTCTGTTGGATAGTTGTCTCATTTGCAAACATATCATTCTCCTTTATTTTATATTAACAGCTGATAAAAATATGAATTTTTTTAGGTCATATCCTTATATTGGCAGCTCAGATACCAGTCATGCCTTACAATCCTTTAATTCAAAGGTTTGAAATGGTGTGTTTGCCATGTTTTGGATGTGAATGGTACTTCTCTTAATTATTGCCCATAACCAAAGGTATCTCAACAACCTTGACATACTTATCCAAAGGTCATATCTTGTTAGTTCAAAAGACAGCTGACGAGAATATTTAAAAGTATCCTGTCCATTCTATTTTAATTACTTGCATCAATGTAAGAAATACATTTAGCAATGGTTGCCTATAACCAAAAGTTGTAATTTGAGTTCACCGCTTAGTTACTGTAATGTGAAGGTCACCGCCTGATGACCCTTCATAAATGCTTAAAGTGATGTGAGTGAATGCATCACTTTAAAAACTACTATAATTTAAGCAGTATTTCGCAAAATTGAGCCCCATTATTAAATCACGTGTCATAACCTTTACATAACCGTACCTGAAAGATCAAGGTCATCTCCAATAAATGCTTTGGAACCATGTCTTCACAATCTTTACACTGAAGAAAAATTAAAAAAATACCAATCGGGGATAATTAAAAAGAGAAGTCGCTGGAGGACATACAGTACCACTGCTAAAAAGGGACGAAAAGAGAAACAAAATTGCCCACAAAACACTACAGAGAAAATTAGAGGTTGAGCAACATAATCCCAATCAAAAACTGGAGGTGAACACTGGATTGTAAACTACACGTAGTTTGTACCTATCGTCTTTCTACTGAGATGTAAATTTTTATTTTTTATATTTGGATAATACTTAATTATCATTGATCATCACACATGTTCACGTTTGGTAGGTCAAGGTCACGAAATGTTAAATTGGTAAGAACATTAAATTTAACTTTAGAAAACGACTTTGACGCCAATTTTCGAGAAAAACTCGAGATATTGTCGTTATTTTGGGTGATAAGATCAAATATCGTGAATTGTTGAGATATTATCTCGAGTTTTTCTAAAAAATTATCGTCAAAGTCGTTCTATTTGTTTAAATACATTAAACTTCTATCACGACTATTATTTATGTCGATGCTACAAATTGGCATTGGCATAAAAAAACACGATAACTGTATAATTATCTTGACCAATTATCTAGATAAATTATGAAAAAGTTTCATGACTTGTCGAAATAAAATCCTGATAAGTCGTCAAAATACCTGATTCATGTTGACTTATCGAGATAAATTATGTCACTCAGATTTATCTCGATGGCAGAAATAGGCCACCATATTTTGGTGTTATAAATGCGTTAAGATTTATTTTCATCAGCTAGACAGACACATTTTAGGTAAGTTATTAACCAAGACTAGCAATGATCAAATTCGTCAGCTTGAAATCAACCTACACCTTTCTATGAGGGTCTGGATGGGGGTCCTTCAATTCTGTCTTTATTTTTTAGGCATATTTCTCTATTCTTTATCAATTTAGCCAAGGATTTGTATAATCCTTGATTTAGCATACTTTTCTCTATTCTTTATATTTTAGCACCCATTATTCTCTATTCATTAACTTGTGGCCCATTTTTCTCGATTCTTTATATGTTTGGCCCATTTCTATGTAATATTGGACCATTATTCGCTATTCTGTAAATCTCATCCAGACCCTCTTCTATTGCGCATAATATCAGTTTCTGGAATAACTGTCATCCTCCAGGTGCGCTCGGGAACAAACATAATATAGCGACAAAAGATACCAAAACCAACTATGATAAAGTGGAAATTTCATTAGCCACTGAGGGAAGGGTACACACACCGTGGGTATAATTCAACCGGCAAAGTGAGTGGTACTGACTATTTGGAGTCTGGTTCAAGGATAATATATAATGTTTATACAACAATTATTTTTTGGAAATGCACTTATCCACTTTTTCAAAACACGATCTTGACATGGATTACTCTAATAAGTGCATTGACAAGCGAAAGTACTGACATATAATTTTAGCTAATATGTTTAGCCAAATTAAGACGGATTTAGTGCGGATTTGTAATCATTAAAGTATTTCGTCACAAATAAAACATGTTTAAGCCATCCTCGAGTCAGCATCCGTTAATAACAAGGACACAAATATTTTCATATTTTATGATGTTGAGAAGATGATTTTTACTCAGGAATTACTCAAAATCATATATTTCCATTTGTTGTGCATTTCCAGTGTTTCAACTTCAAGTAAGAAATATTCATTTTCATATCCATATATTTATTCAACGTGGCACTTATTAGGAAATAGCACCACTTTTCCTTATTCTTATATTTATAGGAACTATAAAGATGTAGAAGTTTTACTTTTTTATACTGTGAAAGTTTTTTTTTGTATTTTATCTGCAAGTAACCTGATGCAAATTCGTGAAAATATTTACGCTTTCACATGCAGTGATTCTTTTAAGGACTGAATATCATGATTGTATTCCACGTATTACACAACTAATGCACAACAAACCATCTTCAGATGAACAAGCAACTTGAAGGCTTTAGTTTAATCATCTAAAAATTCAATAACCTTAATAAAAAGTTGATTTGCAAAACCTGTAGATCATACATGAGGGTCTTTATGTTTATCCTTATTCTGTACTCTTTATATTTCAACATCCAGTATTCTCTGATTCTTTATGTTTTTTACCTATTTTTCTCTATTCCTTAACTTTTTAGCCCTTTGTTCTGAACATTTTGTCCATTATTCTCTATTCTGTAAACCCCATCCAGACCCTCATACATTGATAGATGGCCACAGCAAAATTATGAATTCGTCGGAAACACTGATAGATGTCCTTTGGAAAAAGAACATTTTCCAATTACAATTTAAGCCCCTACCAAAAAAACAGCAAAAACCAACAGCAACAAACAATAAAACAATTACCTACATTCTGAAGGTAACATGTACGTAAATGTGTAATTTTATAAAATGTTGCATGCAACCAGAGCATATATGACTGTATCTGCGTATAGAATAAAAATTATGAAGACCGTGCGGTTACAAGTACCTATAGTTGTTCACACCCTTGACCCTTGGTCTTTGGAGGATAGTTATTTCATTAACAATCATGCATACCACTTATTCTTATTTTTATATGTGTTAATACTTTCAGAGATATAGCAAACTAAATATCCGAAAACAGTTGTACATATCGCATTAAGTTTCAATGAATTTGTCTTTAAATTGCCATCTCTTAAATGATATTTCATTGCCAAGGAAATTCCCGTTTTCTTAATCATGTAAAATTCATAAGGGTCAACGAACATGTAAAATTCATAAGGGTCAACGAACATGTAAAATTCATAAGGGTCAACGAATTTGTTTTTGTTGTTACTTTTTAGGAATAGATATATAAAAGTTTCAGTTGAAATTAGCGTGATGGCATCTTGCTGCTTCAATGTTTTAGAAACGACACACACGTTTGAATGATTTATATACCAAAGTGAGGTCGGCAACATCAATGTCTCTGTATTTGTTTTCACTCACAGGGTCAAAATCTTTAAGTTGGCAAATCCAATTAAAATTAAATAAATAACCGTTTATATCAAATACTTAAAAAGAGATACGAAAGGGACATTCAAACTCAAAAGTCGGAAACAAACTGACAACGCCATGGCCAAAAAACGAAAAACGATCAAAAGACAAACAACTGTATACAAAACACACCATAGTAAATTAAAGACTGAGCAACACAAACCCCATTAAAACCTGGGTGAAGGGTAAGCAGTACAAACCCGGTGATCAGTCTAATTCGGTCGGTCACATTTGTGACTAGCATGAGATTTCCAGGCTTATGGATGTACCTATAGGTTCAAATTGGTTTACTACAAGTTGCATATTAATCAAGAACAGACTGAAATAAAAACACTCTGTCAAGTTATTTTGGCAGATACGTAAAAATATAGGACTTACGAATCAATATGAATTTTGCCATTTATTGAATTTTAATGGCCGCCGTCAATTTTTTTTCGAATATATTTATTCATAAATTTTCCATCAGGTTTATATAAATTCCCCACAGATTTCTCCAAAGGAGTAAAAAATTATGGCCTATAATTGCAACGTGCTATAGTTTAAACGATTACAAAAAAATGTACTTTGGCTTTCTGTGTCGTTGGCTTGCTGTTTCATCTCAAAAAACATGTTTAACCCCGCCGCATTTTTGCGCCTGTCCCAAGTCAGGAGCCTCTGGCCTTTGTTAGTCTTGTATCATTTTTAATTTTAGTTTCTTGTGTATAATTTGGAGTTTAGTATGACGTCCATTATCACTGAACTAGTATACATATTTGTTTAGGGGCAAGCTGAAGGACGCCTCTGGGAGCGGGAGTTTCTCGCTGCATTGAAGACACCCATTGGTGGCCTTCGGCTGTTGTCTGCTCTATGGTCGGGTTGTTGTCTCTTTGACACATTCCCCATTTCCATTCTCAATTTTATCATTGTTGTATATCTCACGTTTCATGTTATTCATAATCGTATTAAATTTGAGAAAAGCTTGAAGCACATGCCCTAACTGACCTTTCTGCAAAGGTCCCCCAAAACAGTATTAGAAAGGTCAAAATTATATTTCCATAGTTGGGATAGGAAAACAATTCAAAAATATAGAACTTTGAAATGATAATTTTTTATTGCTGTAAAATTTGTTTTTGGTTGTTATGTCCTTTGCAATTTTCTTAATTCTTATCACTATGAAAAAGCCCACATATCAGTATTATTGTAATTTTGGACCCTAAAGCATGTTGTCTTACAGGACCAATCTTTTAGATATGAGGATGTTTTTAATAAACAGTAGCTGAATTTATTAGAGTACTGCGTTCCTTCAATCACCATGTTAGCGTTTACATTCATACTACTATACTTAGATATATGTATGAGTTAGATTCTAATTTGATGTACCATACCCCAGTATTGCAAACAAAGCATACTACAATTAAGTAGTACATGTTATTAATGTAATTTTGTCACAATGGTGAAAGAATGTTAAAACCGCTCTGAACATAGAAAAAAAAATCAACAACTTAACATAAGCACATACGTATGAAACAATTTATAAATATGTATATAAATAGAATGGGGTACTGAATGTTTCCCATGAAGAGAGAAAAAAAAACTTCTTTGGCAAATAAAACTGCAATTTAAAACCAATTACAAAATTAAATATGATTCTAAGAAAAATCAAAAGAAATAATACCCGGACACAATCATTTTAAAATCATAATTGAAAAACGTGTGGGATACGTCATCGCGACAGCAACCCCACAACAAAAAATAACCAAGATGTCTAGTCTACAATATTCAACCAAAGCCAGGTGTCCACACAATATGTAAACTTTTAATCGTGCCGAGTCCATGAATTGATTGATTGATTGATTGTTTTGAGGAAAAAGAGGACGGGATTTTGGTTACGACATTTGTAACATATATATCCGTCGTCATCTGTGAAACTCATGATGGCGTCCGTACAATTTCTGAAGGGACGATTTCAACTTCATTTGGTTTAACAGTTTTTTTGTGAGCAGTAACCCTCTATCAAGGAGATCATGATAGGAAATGCAAGTTTGGGAATATCGTATCAACTGGGAGATGTATGCTCCATATGCAGGCGTTGCTGGAATGTTGCTACATAGAAATGGAAAGATCACATCTGAAATCATCTCTTTTATCTTTAAGTTTTGTTCACAACCGACCATGATTGTCAATTACTAGATGTAAGTCAAGATATGAGACAGACTTAACTGTATCTATTGTATCCTTTATTGCAAGTTCGATGGGATTGATAGTCACCAAACTTTGAATTAGTTAGTGAGAGGACATCATATGTATAGCGGAAAGTGAAATTAAAGGATAATGCAAGCTTCAGTACATTCTTCCAAGAAGCTCATGTATAAAGCCAGCCTCATTTGAATAAAGGAACAAGCTAATTGGCAAGAAGAGGAGCACAGTTGGTTTCATCAGAATACCGATTGCTTGTTGAAAACATGTCCTCCAAAATTTACAAATATGTTGCCAATCTAGAAATCAAGCATCTTGATAATGTCAGTTTTAAGATTTCTAATTTTTTTTTTTACATTATTCCATATGAACAAAATGTGAATCAGCCCTTCATGTTGCTGTTGAAGGGATTTTCATAACATAAATTGCATTTTTTACATGTTTTTGTAAAATTTAGCATCAAAGGACGTCACTAACCAAAATGAATTAATTTTTACCTGAAAGACAATAAATATATACTTATAGATTTGCTTCCAACATTATTTCGGTTTTGGTTTGTATATGTATGAGATTAATACGCAAACGTGCCAAAATTGAGGTGTTTTGTGCTGTCTTCATGCGTTTACAATTTGTTGATATGTTTAGAAATAGTACATAATATTGCTAGAACCTTAAAGTTCATATGCAATCTATGATTCTATGAGTTTAAATTAAGACCAAAAGATCTTTTGAAAATGGCCCTGATGTGAAATAAATAGAGGAAAATGGTCTTACCTCTTTCGTACGAATAAAAATACAATAACATGCAATTGTACAAAAAAAATCGTAAGAGAGGTTTTCAAGAAAACTCTAGTTATAAAGTGTAATTTCTAACTATTTTTACATGCAATCTATACCATTCACACACTTAATTGACTAATTTTTATTCAAAATTATCTCAGCAGTATGAAAGATTAATATATATATATATTATATTTATATATATTTATTTCGATATTCAGATGCAGTTCCACGCACTCTAGTTGCATTTAAGGTTTCATTAAAATCCGAAATTGCTAATTTACGTATCTGTTACCTTGAATTTGTATTACTAAAATAATGACCTGATTGTGATTGTTGCTGTCCACCTATTGCACAATGGTGACTTGACTGTGGTTCTTCTACAGCAGTTGGTTAAAATTCTGACCAGTTGAAGAACAGTTTGATTTGATGAAACAAATTGCAATTTGGTAAGAATTTTGAATGAACTGCAATAGATGGACAGCAACACTAGCAATCAAGTTAATGAAATATCTTAATGAAATTGGTACATTATTCTTTTTTGGGGAATGTTTTAAAAAGCATTTACCGCGCTCTTTTTGATATTAACCGCGTAATTTCATACAAAAAAAAATTGCCCACGGTAAACTCTTTCACAACCATATAATACTATAAATATTAATCAATGCTTGTAATAAAACTCTAATCTATAAAACCGGAAAATTACGATTTTAATTAAGCTCATTTGTTTTGTTTTATTTACTCCTACACATGCACTGAACACTGAAGGTAGCATAATTTATAATAATGTGTTGTTTTTAGTTAATCTTGCGGAAGGTAGAGAGACCAGGCAAAGTTCTACACTCCAAAGAAATGAGAGTGGTTTGGCTGTAGACGGTATATACACGACATGTGCTAGTACAAACCAACAAGATGAAAGAAATCTATTTTGGCAACTAACACTTGCTGAAAACGCCAGCATCACACACATACGCTATGCATACTACTATGGTGAGTTTAGGTACTGAATCAGGGACGGATCCAGGATTTTTAAAAGGGGGGGGGGGGGGGGGGGGGCGTAATTCCAAATTTAAATATATAAAAACTTTTGTAAGGTTTTATGCTAAAACATTATTTATTAAATAGTGAGCAACATGAGATTTGATTATGTTTTGGTTATCAAAAGGGGGCATTACTCCTGAACGGTAAAAGTGACGCCACCCAATTTCGAACTTGATCTGTGATTTGTGGCAATAAGCATTGTGTATAAGCTTTATGACATTTGGTTGAGGCAAACTAAAGTTAGAGAACGGAAACCAATTTTGGGGATCAATTTACGCGACAGACGGACAGACTGGACGGACGGATGGACAAGGGTAACACTTAATTAATGCCTCCTCCGCTACGGCGGGGGCATACAAAGGAGGGTTCATTCCCCAAGCGCCTGTGGTAGCACCTGCCTCATATCATACAGATACATGCATATAATACAGTGTTTTTTTTATTCAAATTCAGATGATCAAGATGTCAAGTATTTACTAAATACCAGAATATATGTATCCAGCTCAAAGGGACTTACTTCTGGACAGCTGTGTTATACGGAAACCAGAAATCCGAATGAAATTGATCCAATTCAAAACAAAGTATTTTGTTTTACACAAGGAACATATCTCACGTATTATAATCCAGATCGTCGTATGAACATCAAACTGTGTGAGGTAGAAGTATATGGTTAGTACAGATATTTAATATAAATATGAATCAATGAGGGTCTGGATACTCCTTAATTTCTGTATTCTAAAATGTTTAGGCCACCTTTCTCTATTCTTTGTATTTTTTGCCCATTATTCTCTATTCTTTATATTTTAGCACCCCATTATTTTCTAATTTTTTTAGCCTATTTTTCTTTTCGTTATTTTTTTATCCATTTTTCTGCAGTATTGGCCAATTATTCTCAATTCTGTAAACCTCATCCAGACCTTCATCAATCCCCTTTATAAATAATAACAAAAATATAAAATAATAATCAATTAACTGATACTTCGAACACCAATAAAATCATAAAAGAACATTGAAACCTTTGGCCAATAATGTATTTGTATGCGTGTCTGACAATGTTTTTTTAAAAAAGAGACGCACTTATTTCAACTGATGGAGAAAATGACAATATTTTGGAATGTGTAAGTGTATGTGAACTGATTCGGTGTTTCTCCGTTTTAACTTCTGTCACAGCGCAAGATGAGATTACATTTATTCATATGTTCATATTCATATCCCCGAAAAGCATCCCTCCCCCAAAAAACAGTTTAGGACATAAAGTAATTTATTTTTTACAGAAGTTGAAATGTTACAAAAACGATACGTAATTCTCAATTTAATAAGCAAACGTTCCATTTCAAAAGGTTGAGCTCAAAACGTTATACCGGTTTTCCTTTCTTTTAGAAATTTTAAAAGTAATAAAAGAACTTAACACAAACTAAATGGAACATTTCAAGATAAAAGACGTACCCCCTCTTCACGATGATTTTACTTTAAAATGATTTATTTTTAATCGGTAACAATTTTGTAAATAAATCGTGTATGAATGCAACACCGTGAACTATGATGTAGCGTTTATCCCACCAATCCTTTTATTTACAGATACTCACATCTCTTTTTAGCTACAGAAAACATGACATGTAACCATATAGATTTTCTTTTATTCTTGTAAAAAACATACTATCCACATTGATTTGTGTCCACACTTGTATTCTTGTAAAAAGGGTATACTGGACGGCAATATTACAACACGTCAATATTTCGTGATTTTGACGTTAACATAAGACGTTACCAAAAGCGACGTCGATATCGTTCTTAACTTCTCTATCTGTTTACCTACAGGCTGCCCGATTGGTCGATATGGAGATGAATGTTCCGACAAATGCAGTTCTAACTGCCTCACCCAGCCTTGTGAACCAGATTTTGGACGATGTACTGACGGATGCAAATCGGGATTTTCAGGAGAGAGATGTACATCTCGTATGTTATGAAAGTAGATAAACTATCAACAATGTAAAATTTGTCCAAACACCATCTAAAATTACTTATTGAGTATAGTGTCTTATTAAAGACATTGTAGTTTGACATTAAACAGAAAAAGCAAAACAAATTTATGTTCATTCATTTAATTTTTTGTCTTTTTCTTGGAATTATGATGAAAACAAATTAAAATTCGTTCTTTTCGTACAATTCAGGTCTATATCGTCTTTGTAAACTGAATAGAAAACATAAAAAATACCTTTAGAAGTAGACTGTCAAGTTATAATTAGAATTAATTGTAAAAAAGTCACATACCAATGCTATTGATTACCGGAAGTGACGAAAGCTAAACTCATGTAGGCAGGATTTTTTTTTTTTTTTTTTATTTTCATCATATTTTTGTTATTGTCATACTTATCTCTTTATTCTTAAAGAAAACACATATCTCTAAATGTATAGAGGTTTTTGTTACAAATTCTATATTCGAAATATTTATACATTGAAGTTTCAAAATTGTGAAGTATTATATTGCCGATATCAGTGTTTCTAAAATAAACAACATCTGGAACTCTCGAATATCAAATGTTAATAAGGCCATACATACATATATGAATAACAATCTTAAAATCAAGAAAGTATGTTTATTTGCAAATACATGAAAATTAAGTAAAAGATAATGCATATTTTAAGGTTTTTCTTGTCGTATAGCACACCGAGGGGTGTCAGGATTGTTCAAATGAAAGACCGACCGTAGGAATATTTCACTTTAGTTTGATCGGTAAAATAGGATGCAAATCTTGGAAATTTTTGCAGAAAATAATATTTTTTGACGGTGTATAAATCAGATAATTCAGAGAAAGACCTATCGTTCTAAAAGGAAATACCTCCATATAGGTAATCTAGTCCTTGATACAAAAAGAAATACGAGAGTACATGCACATACAAGAGGTTGAACATGGAAGACAATACTATGGTATAAAAAACCATAGGTCGAATAATATTTGACAACACCATGGTCAAAAACAGCTACAAACAACAGCCAACAAAACACTACTAAAAACTCAAGCTTGAGCAACACGAACCACACAAAAACCGTGGGGGGGGGGGGGGGGGGAGGGGTGAGCTCAAGTGTTCTGGAATGTAAGCAGTTCATGCTGCACTAGCGGCACACGTTGCATCATCTGAAGGATTTTGTTTTTTACTTACACTGAATTTATACCAACAAAAGGCCCGACCCCTGGTCGCTTTGTGGCAATTAAAGAGTCGAAAATAGAAGTGAATTGCTACAGGTAGTTGAAAAATTGAGGCAAAGTTTTAGCTGGGCTCTGGAGGGTACATTAGGTTGTTAGGGATGCAAGTTGGAAGCTCATCAGGCTAACAAATTCCTTGGTAATCTCGTCAATATTTTTTCAAATGATTATATCGAATATTTGACAAAGACAAAATTCGTGTCCTGTATGTTTTACTAGATATGTTTAGAAATTAGGTATCATTTCTTTTTTTTTCTTAGTGTATAGTATATGAAGTTGTGTGAGGTCGATATGGTATTACTGTTAACTAATTATTCTTTATCTGAATGCAGACACCTCCCCTGCATTCCCTAGATCTACCACTTAACATCATATGCACCGTCTTCTTGTAGAATGTGGTCTTGGGGTTTACGGACCAAACTGTGTATTGACATGCAGTGTAAACTGTCTAAACAATGACTGTGATAGTGTAAATGGAACATGTAAAAATTGTGTCGATGGATTTATGGGAGCAATGTGTGATTTCATGGGACAAGTAACAGATTCGACTGTTTTAATAGGTTCGTAAGAATAACATTATATGGGTCATTTTCAAAAATGTCGAATTTTCAGTACTTGTACACCTTTGCTAAAAAAATAAATAAAAATTGATGGAAAATGCAGTTTAAATGAAAGTTTGTAGGATTTATGAGTCTAAATATTGTTAAAATTAAAATATATTTAAGTCGAATTTTTGCGTAATTTATGTGCGTACAGTGACAGGGTAATATATTTCAAATGATTTTTTCCTCATGCTGTTTTCTGGTTGCCTTGAAATCTGCAAAATGAACTATTTCAGAATCTGTTTTTGATAACTATAACGAAAAATCAAGTTTGTCTTTTATCCTATGTATTAAACATGTTTGCTACAATTTATGTCTATCCTGTTAACTACCGATACTATATCAACCGTTAAATAGTTTGTGCACAAAGCATCCTAAAAAAAATTAGTGTTTATCCTTTTATTCTGCCAATGCTGTTACCAATTAATTTATTAATGACAATATTATATTTGTAAAAAGTGCAGTTATGTGATGGAAACCAAAACCGCAGAAGAAAAACATTTTCACAGCATAAAAAGGTGCATTCATTTCACAACAGCATTCATAAAATGTAGAAATAGTCTATCCGGTTACTATGGCTGCAGTTACTATGTCTGCAGTAACATGATCATAGAAAATGTTTGACTGAAACGTCTTCTTAAAATATATGATTACATATTATTTTTCACATATTGAAATGTTTGGTTATTTGAACTCATTTAAAAGTTACAACGCCTTCATCTTCGCAATTTAGCGCAAACAAAATGCAAAACTGCTATCGGTAACAGGATAGACAAAACGGGTAACAGGTTAAAACTTAATATTTATGGTGATATATCGTTAACGTAAGCTCCAGATAAAAAAATAAAAAAATAAAAACCAAACCAGAATGCGATGAAATTACTTGATGTTGGATTTATTCGAAAGAGAAAAAATACTTAAAATTATGAATAGTAGTAGCTATTTTAGACTTACGTTGCTGGTGCTTACTTTTATAACCTTTGAAAACCAATTTTAGAGTCGTTTTTCGGCACACCATGAAAAATTGTCAAACAATCTATCAATACACAGAATGAAATATATATAGAAGTTTTGTTCTTGAAAACCTCCTTTTAAATATTGGCCATGAAAAACAAGCTTAAACTTTTATCGACACCTATTCTAAATAGCCGAAAATTCTTTTTTAACACGGTAACAGGAGAAAAAATATTCCACAACTTAACAATTAAATGGAGAATGTGTCCATGGGACACAGATGATGCCCCCGCTTGCATATAACGTTATAAAGGGACATAACTAGAGAACTTGATCTGAGGTTTGTGGTAATAAGCATTGGGTATAAGTTTCATAACATTTGGTTGAGGCAAACTGAAGTTAGAGAACAGAAACGAAAAATTCAGCAATTTCCATATTAAAAAGGGTATCTCTAGAACGGTATAAGTGACGCCACCCAAATTCAAACTTGACCTGTGTTTTGTGGTTATAAACATTGTGTACAAGTCTCATAACATTTGTTTGAGGAAAACTGAAGTTAGAGAACGAAAACGAAAAATTCAGCATTTTTTCCATTTGTAAAGGGGCATACCTCAAGAACGGTAAAAGTGACGCCACTCAAATTCAATCTTGATCTGAGTTTTGTGGTAATAGGCATTTTATATAAGTTTCATACCATTTTATTGAGGCAAACTACAGCTAGAGAACGGAAACTAATTTTGGGACGCACGGACGGACGTACAGACGGACAAGGCTAACACTTAATGCCCCTCCGCTGCGGCGGAGACATACAAATGTTTCAATGTATTCTCATATGACACGTTTTTTAAAATGCTGTTCAAAAAGTATTGTTTGTTTTAATTTGCTTATACAGAGGGTGGTTTAAACTAGTTACTTTAATTCAATTTGCACTTTTTTATGCCCCACCTACGATAGTAGAAGGGGCATTATGTTTTCTGGTCTGTGCGTCCGTCCGTTCGTTCGTTCGTCCGTCCGTCCGTCCGTCCGTCTGTCCCGCTTCAGGTTTAAGATTTTAGTCAAGGTAGTTTTTGATGAAGTTGAAGTCCAATCAATGTTCCCTATGATATGATCTTTCTAATTTTAATGCCAACTTAGAGTTTTGAACCCAATTTCACGGTCCGCTGAACATAGAAAATGATAGTGCGAGTGGGGCATCCGTGTACTATGGGCACATTCTTGTTCATTTTGTAAACATGCAATGAACTAATATCATTTAATCCATTCTGTGAAGATTTTCAGTAATTGTTGAAATCTTCTTTATAATGATAAGTATATAATTCAAATTGAACCTTTTGTGTTCAGCGAGCTTTAAGATGGAATGGCGGCCCAGAATATCAAATTATGACAATCCTGCTCCTTATTCCGATCGACAATTTACAAAACGAAGTATTTGTCACTGCTTGACGTTAAGCTAGCAGTTATAAAATTGTCAAAATGATAAATGTATATATTTAATTGGTTGCATTTCAGATCAGTACACAGCTAATACATCACAAACAAAGTACTGGATTGTCATAGCTGTCCTGGCATTGGCTCTGATACTACTTATTGTTATAATAACTTACTTCAAGTTTGGGTCTAGGTAAATGTTAGCATTACATAGTTTGCAATCGTCACTGTATAAAAGAAACGGAAAGATTGTGTCCAAGTATGTATTAGCGTTCCATAATTTGCACTCGTGAAAGACAACAAAATGCATATACAAAGTTTGTGTCTAGGTAAATGTATGTACTCGTCAATGACAAAACTGGTTATTCATCGACTTTTTAATAGCACCTTCTGTCCCTTTTTTGCTTACTATTTTGCGTTTGTGTTGATTTCTAGAAACTATATAAATGAATATTTATATAAAAATAAATTGATAACGGAAATAGTTGAGTCTCTATGCAGCTGTTTCTAAGAAAGTACCGATGGTTGGATAAGAATTGTTAATTCATGAATTTATAACAGTTTCTTCAATGATTGACACGTTTACACCTATATTTATAACATTAATATGCAATGTTAGAAGTTGTCATGTTAAGTTACCACAATAAAAACGTTTGGCAGACGAAATATTCAATTACACATGAATATGATATAAGGAGATGTGGTATATTTGCTTTTAGGTGCAACTATCTAAGAGTTTAAAAAATGTGGATTTAAGAAATTATAGGTCACCATACAGCGTTCAACAATTACCAAACCACAATGTACAGTAAGATATAAAAGGCCCCGACAATAAGTTACATGCCAAAATGTGAAACAATTCAAACGAGAAAAAAAAAAACCAAAACACTACATATAACTTTTGCTTATAAAACGGAACAAAATTTTCTGAAGTCTCGTTTGCTTTATTTTGTGAAGTTTTTATTAAAACGATTGATTTCTAGCTGTAAAGCTAATAATCCATTCCGAAAATGATTATGGAGTGGAAAAGGCAAACTCGACAGAACTTTTTTTTAAAGAGATTTCGATAACGTATTACAATGTTCCTATACTGTTATAAAAAATTACATATATAACCAATATGTCTGCCTGCCTAAATTATTTTTTAGAACGCATAACGTGCGAAAGAAGAATATGTTATGAAAGATCAAATATAGTTGTCTTTTCGCACTTCATAAACTTTTGGGTGAGGTTTTAGTTTACCTCCAGTCAGTATTAAGGCAATTCCTTGCTGTTATACAAGTTTCTTAGATTTGCAAGTGAACATTGTGTACTATGGAGGAAAACATAATTTTCTTTCATTTTGTTTGCTTTTATTGCAGTAGAATTAGAGTAAAGAAGGAAAAAATATCATCAAAGTTAAGTCATGTGTCTTACGAAAACTCTCCTCGTCTTACGCCGCCACAAAACAACACCGTAGATTACGATTCTGTCCAGTACGAAACATTCCAGGAAAAGGGAAACAGAAAATCAAATATGTATGACTTACCAGTGACTAGTATGCCATCACAGCAGGTTGTGAATGCAACAGCAGTAACTAAAACAGGCTTTCACAATAGTAAACAGGGTGTCAACAAACCACCGACACCTAAGAAGCCCATTAAACCTCCAAAGAGTTTAGTAAAAGGTATGATCATCTGTTAAAATAAAATTAGTGAAAAAAATTTGTTTGCAATATTCTTACTTTGAAAGAACTAGTATATCAACTACATCATTCATTAATTTCTTTTTGAGGATCTTTTGTTGTCCCATTAAAAAACCAGATTAGTCCATCTTTTCTATTCATGTAACAAATTTTGAGAATTAATCAAGGGCAAACAACAATGGCAATTCAAGAAGGAATTAAGACAAAAAAATAAGAAACAGTACGGACACAATAATCAAGGGCAAACAACAATGGCAATTCAAGAAGGAATTAAGACAAAAAAAAATAAGAAACAGTACGGACACAACAATGGATTTGTTATACCAAAATTGTATTTATTCATGGGTAGGAAGGACAAAAAGTTTTTTTTTTGTTTTTTTTTTAATTAAAACCTTCGCCAAGTTTGAATATGCCACCCCAAAAACAAAGGATTTTTCGTAAATTTGCTGGCAAGAATCAAAGAGTATATTTTGACATTGAACCAAGTCTTTCTCAAAAGACTATGGTTGCACCTTGAGATAGCACTCAGATCAGATTTTTATCCTGCTGGTTTGGATTAAATCATGCTTTTCACAATTTTCCCAATAACCAAGGTTTTATCATGAAAATGATCAAAAGTTGTGTTTAAGATCAATGTTTAAAAAGGGATATATATGGCCCGAGAAAACAGTTATTTCCGTAGTGCATTTCTCTTAGATAAAAAACCCAAATTAGAGAACATCACACATGCTCTATTAAAAAAATGATTTTCACAGTGTAGTGTACAGCTTTTGGTACAAATTATATCAAAACTATAGAAAAGCCTATCGGCTCTTGCTCAAACTGGACCAAATCACTACTTTACCTAAAAATTCATGCCCCAAATATTGCTTACATAGTAATTTCATCACCTACTTACAATCTTATTTTATGCATAAAATATAAAGAAATAAATTTGGAAGGTTTATGAAAAAAATTGCAAGTTATACACTGTCCGCACTATTTACCAACGCATGTGTCAATACTTCACTTAAAATCATATTTAGGAGATAACTGTGTACTCAGTTTCCACGGTGAAAACATGAATAGTAGTTTGCGATGCACTTTGTTTAACTCGTGAGTTTAAAGTTCGAAATACGGTCATTAAGTGGAGGAATTTGAATATTTTAGAGCCTGCAGTGTTATGCAATGAATATTCGTCATCTATATTTTCTTCTGTATTTTAAAAAAAAAACATGACTATGAAAGCATTTATAATTGGATTTTTTAGACTTTATATCTTATATATTTCCTTTTTTTCATTTCCAGAATTTAGCGGAGCATATGAGGGTCTACAGAGTACAGAACACAAGCATTTTTACGATTCTTTGAATCAGTGACTTATATTTATATTTATATGCCATTTAATGCAGACCCTTATTTATCATTTTAAGTTATGTAGAGATAAGATTTTTAAATGATTATTGATGTTTTAATAAAAGCAAAAACAATCAATCGATTAAATGATTCCCTTTGAAACTCTGCTGTGCTAGTATGTTTTCGATGCAAACTCACATTTTTTTTTTAAATAAAGTTACTGGTGTGACCTATTCGCTGCTCATAATAAGTATGTGTATTACTGGTGTGACATATTCGCTGCTCATAATAAGTATGTGTATTACTGGTGTGACATATTCGCTGCTCATAATAAGTATGTGTATTACTGGTGTGACCTATTCGCTGCTCATAATAAATATGTGTATTACTGGTGTGACATATTCGCTGCTCATAATAAGTATGTGTATAACTGGTGTGACCTATTCGCTACTCATAATAAGTATGTGTATTACTGGTGTGACATATTCGCTGCTCATAATAAGTATGTGTAGGTCCCAATTATGTTTTGCTAGATTAAGTATATACACTCTGTGTTATGGTTATTTGTTTTGCAAGAAGGGACGAATTGCTAACGATGAGAAGTAAAAATATTTCATGTGTAATATTTTTTTTAATTCACATTTTTTTTGCAACGGTCAAACAAACTTTATTGTACGAAAGGAAGTTTGTTTGACCTCTAAGAAGGTTGCATATATATAAACATCTTTTCCTTCAAAAAGTATGACTTATTTTTGTCTCTGATAAACTTTATGCACAGAGTAAGTGTATGCTGAACATCCAGCACGAAATAAGAAATTTGTGTATAGGTAGTAACAACAACCAATATCTTCAGTTCACGTCCGACCAGAATAAAAGAATAAAATAACTGATTATTGCTCATGGTTCTGAAATGTATTGGCTATATAAATAAATGTATTTTTTGATATATTTTAAAATACTTTTTGCAATTCTACTGAAAAAAGACAACATTCTTTGCAAATCTACACGACGTCATTATCCACGATTCTTAATTAAATCTTTTTGCTTGTGATAAAAAGTAGTCAAAATTTCTACCGGTTTATTCCATTATACTTTATATGCTGTTCATATTTCGTTGGCGTTGTCTTTAGTCTTATATTTCGTTAGCGTTGTCTTTAGTCTTGTATTTCGTTTGCGTTATCTGTAGTCTTATATTTCGTTGGCGTTGTCTTTAGTCTTATTTTTCGTTTGCGTTGTCTTTAGTCTTATATTTCGTTAGCGTTATCTGTAGTCTTATATTTCGTTGGCGTTGTCTTTAGTCTTATTTTTCGTTTGCTTTGTCTTTAGTCTTATATTTCGTTTGCGTTGTCTTTAGTCTTATTTTTCGTTTGCGTTGTCTTTAGTCTTATATTTCGTTGGCGTTGTCTTTAGTCTTATATTTCGTTAGCGTTATCTGTAGTCTTATATTTCGTTGGCGTTGTCTTTAGTCTTATTTTTCGTTGGCGTTGTCTTTAGTCTTATATTTCGTTTGCGTTGTCTTTAGTCTTATTTTTCGTTTGCGTTGTCTTTAGTCTTATATTTCGTTGGCGTTGTCTTTAGTCTTATATTTCGTTAGCGTTATCTGTAGTCTTATATTTCGTTTGCGTTGTCTTTAGTCTTATATTTCGTTGGCGTTGTCTTTAGTCTTATATTTCGTTGGCGTTGTCTTTAGTCTTTTTTTTCGTTGATGTTATCTTTAGTCTTGTATTTCGTTGGTGTTGTCTTTAGTCTTATATTTCGTTGGCGTTGTCTTTAGTCTTATTTTTCGTTGGTGTTGTCTTTAGTCTTATATTTCGTTTGCGTTGTCTTTAGTCTTATTTTTCGTTGGCGTTGTCTTTAGTCTTATTTTTCGTTTGCGTTGTCTTTAGTCTTATATTTCGTTGGCGTTGTCTTTAGTCTAATATTTCGTTAGCGTTATCTGTAGTCTTATATTTTGTTGGCGTTGTCTTTAGTCTTATTTTTCGTTGGCGTTGTCTTTAGTCTTATATTTCGTTGGCGTTGTCTTTAGTCTTTTTTTTTTCGTTGTTGTTGTCTTTAATCTTGTATTTCGTTGGTGTTGTCTTAAGTCTTATTTTTCGTTGGTGTTGTCTTTAGTCTTATTATTCGTTTGCGTTGTCTTTAGTCTTATTTTTCGTTGGTGTTGTCTTTAGTTTTAGTTTTCGTTGGTGTTGTCTTTAGTCTTATATTTCGCTGTCGTGGTCTTTAGTCTTTACGTCAGACGAGTCATAAACATAATCTGCGGCTCACTGCCCATGTCCATCATACTATAGTTGCAGCTCTTTAAGAAAAATATGAAATAAAAAATATTAAAATGATGCTGAAATGAACATGCCTTGCGAATACTATTTCTCGTAAAATATTTTGTAAAAAATAATCGCCAGGCAGTCTGAAGTTGAATTGATAAAAAAGTGAAATATAGGTCAGTACTACTAGTAATTAAAAATACATACAAGGCTATATATTGGACAGTGCATCTGACCACACAAACCCATCCGTTAACAGGCCCGACTTGTCTGAAGACTAATGACAACGTCAACGAAAAATAAACATCATATGAGGTATAATGAAATAAATCGGTAGAAATGTTGACTTAATTTTATCACCGGCAAAGAGATTTATTGTGAAAGTATAATTTCATTTGTTGAATTGAAAAAGTGGTATTTCACAACCAGAAGATACCATATGGGCAATCGAAATCCATGAGTCGAGAAAATGCGGACAACAGCATAGCCATAAGAAAAAGGACGAGTAAACGGCAGTTCACCAAACGCAGGCTAAAGAATGGATAGTACGAACTCTGTCAACAACCTGGGTGTTAACTCAGGTGATCTGCAAGGATCTTCAGTTCCTTCACCTTTGGTGGCACCTGTAAAAAAACGTAAACAAACTACACTGGTATAGACTCTAAAAACACAAACAAAAACAAACCAAACAACAAAACTGTCCAAAGCCATTCTTTCTCAGACGTGGACTATAGTAGACTCGTCGAAATATATATGAGCAAGAAAAGGTAACAGATCCTCAATTATAACTGACAATTCAGCATTAAAACAACACTTGTTTCATTTCCGTTAAATACAAATATTGGTTCCGTTTCTATGTCTACCAGATATGACACGGATTGCAGTTTTAGTGGTGAGAGCTGAAAGGATTACACTGTTGTATTAAGGTCAAGTTACAGTAAATGGGCTATGTCACAGATTTTCTTAAAATTTTGCATTCACTTTTGGATCGTTGAACTGTATCTGAAAATCGAAAAAATAATGCCTTTATTTCTTTTTTTTCTGAAATATTACTGATAGAATTCTTTCAAACTGGGTGCCCATTTGTATAAAATGCAATTGAAATCGGCGAAAAACTTTTTTACATTTGTCTTTAAATCATCAAATTTTCAATTTTTACTACATAGATTTTTCTTAAAGAATTATATATTGTTGGTGCAAAAATTTCCGTTTTAATTGTGTAAAATAATAGTAGGGTCACCGACTTCGTTTTTACGGTATACATTAATCAAAGTAGTGTATTAGGTGAAACATACCAAAAAACGTCTAAATAATCGTAACGTCATCGCGTTGTAGACCGTAAAACGTCGATTTTTTACGGTTTTCACTACCTACAAGGTAACGGATTGGTTAATACACAAAAAATCGAAGTCGGTGACCATATGATTAATTCATATCACTAAAACAGAAATTTATGTATCAGCAACATATAGTTTTTTAAGAAAAATCTATGTAGAAAAAATTTAAGGTAAATTTAGGAACGGTTTTCGTCGATTTCATGTGCTTCCTATACAAATGTTCGCCTATTTTGAAAGAATTTAATCAGTAACATTTCAGAAAATAAAAGAGATAAAGGTATTATTTTTTTCGATTTTCAGATATAATTCAGCGAGCCCAATTTATATGCAAAACTTTACCAAAATCTGTGACATAACCCATTTACTGTTCCTTGACCTTTATAACAGGATTAAACTGGCGTAGTATATAGAAAGAAATATTCTATAGACTTTACTTAGAACATTATTTGGAATCACGAACAGTTATAGATTTGAAAACTGTCGAGTTGAGTATCTTGTGTCTCTATTCAAACCACCTGAATAAACGGGGATTACTGATGACCGTCGTCTAGTAATTTTTCAGTCAGTATTTATTGTTTTCTTGGTTTGTTCTTTTGGTTATTTATTTTGTTTTTGTATCTGTTTTTTTGTTTCTTTGTTTAAATTATGTGTAATCTTATGTATAGTTTGTGACATAGTACGAACTAGGGTAGGTTCCTTAGAACAAGCACACACGTACATGTATACAAATTTCTAGATTAGTAAAAAGCAAATATTATGCTGTTACCACTGCATAAGATCCAGTCCGTTTTGGGCTTAACAGTATCACATGTATGTGATAATCATAAGCATAATAAGACAACCAAATTAGGGGTTTACAAGTGACGTGAATTTGTAAGTAACACATCATACTGTACTGTACACCACGATAAACTTATCATAGTTATAAGCCAGGAAACATTAATACACTGATTTCCTGTATCAGGCACACCATCAGTACTTATATCAAGTAGTAGACATTGTCATCTTTATAAGTATACAAAATGTACATACTGAAATTAGTTTGTTTGTTTTCAGGATACATTTATACAAAAGCCTCTGGTAAGAATGATACTTTAATATTCTAACATTTTAAGGAGAGCGTTTTGGTTTACTGAAATAAAGAGATGCACATGTAGTTAGTTGTCAGTGTTTAATTCGGTACTAACATGATATATAACATACTCTTAAAAGTTCCCCATGATGAATAAGAAAATTTTTAGAAACAAAAATTCCAACTCCCTCAGGCAAAGTTTACCTTAGAGCAGTTTTGCTATAATAATCATGCTTTTTTGTTTTATGTCTCTCGTGGTGATAAAACACCTAACATTTCTACGTATTAATACAACTCTGGCTAGGTTTGAGCGATCCTGATGATAGTAATCCAGAAAAGCGCGTAGGACGCACAAACGTTATAAAGTTTTATTTTTACGTGGACGAAACAACAAACAACACAAAATACCAGTGACGATTTGGTTCGTAACACAAAATGCCAGTGACGAATTGGTTCGTTACACAAAGTACCAATGACGAGTTGGTTCGTAACACTAAATACCAGTGACGAATTGGTTCGTTGTTCGTTACACAAAGTACCAATGACAATTTGGTTCGTAACACAAAATGCCAGTGACGAATTGGTTCGTTACACAGTGTACAAATGACGATTTGGTTCGTAACACAAAATACCAAAGACAAATTGGTTCGTTACACAAAGTACCAATGACAATTTGGTTCGTAACACAAAATGCCAGTGACGAATTGGTTCGTTACACAGTGTACAAATGACGATTTGGTTCGTAACACAAAATACCAAAGACAAATTGGTTCGTAAAACAAAATACCAATGACGAGTTGGTTCGTAACACTAGATACCAATGACGAATTGGTGCGTAGCACAACATACCAATGACAAATTGGTTTGGAAAACAAAATACCAATGACGAATTTGTTCGTAACACAAAATACCAATGATGAATTGGTTTGTAACACAAAATACCAATGACAAATTGGTTCGTAACACAAAATAACAATGACAAATTGGGTTCATCTAGATAATTCTTAAACTATTATGGATGAATTCAAACTTTGATATCTTGAGCATGAGACAGCAACCAACACAAAAACACAAAAGACATACAGAAGTCAACATACAGTCTGTAATAAAAGACAGATGTCGATACACTATTTTAAGTTTTATATCGCCCCGAGTCCAGAAAAGAGTTTCTAAAACTTAAAAAAACTGAAATAGAACCAGCACAGAAAAAAGTACTATTATAGTTAAAGTGTATCTCAACAGAGGATGCTGTGAATTATATACATTTAAATATCTCTTTTATCATTCTTAAATTCGTATAAGAAAAAAAAGAGCACATTTTTTTAGTTTTGTTGTTATGATAGATTGTATTCCGTTAACAAATAATACTTGATGATCTTGAAAATGAGCGATGATTAAGGCACTCTTCATCTGTATGTTTTCGTATCAATAGAAAAATATCAAATAAAATGATTTAAAACAAAAATAAATAAAAACTAACAAAATGCGTATTGCAACTTGTATAAGTCCATGGAATTAATTTGAAAAAAACAATACCTACCGTATCATCCTTATGTAACGTTGTTGTATAGTTAATATATGGTTCTTCATGTTAACTTCACGTGAAATTGTAATATCTTGTTAACAGCAAGAAAAACGTTTGTTATGTTTTTTTCTATCATCATTGGAAAAGTTTTTGTCTTATATCAGAATGCATAACCTTTTATCAAGCATCTTTAACCATTAAATTTCACTTAACTGATTCCTATAATTTGTTTATTTTTTAGTAAATCTCGCCCTACATCGACCAACAATTCAATCGTCAGTGTTTCAAATTCATAACCAGACTCTGTCTTCCAATAGAGCAGTAGACGGGAAATATGACCTCAATGTAAATGATCTGTCGTGTGCTGTGACCAAGGGAAATGCCCTCGAAGTATTTTGGCGGGTTACGTTGGATCAGATTTCTATCATAAGTCATATTCACTTTGTATTTGAAAATAGTAAGTAGTGATTTGTAACTGTTTCAGATATATAGGTTTTCAAATGTATACATATTATAATGCTTCATTGGTTCATAGAAATAGTTAAACAAGGCACAATTGATATTATCATAATTTCTTGCTGCGTGTTTTCATATATTTGTTTTGTAATTTCATTATGTTTTCATAGATATTTTGATATAACGGGATTTAAAAAAAATGAGTAAATTGAAAATCTAAACATTCCATAATTCGATTAAGACATTTCCAAATTCAATATTTGTATAGATTTTTTCTACAATTTTTGAAACTATTCGTGTAGCCTACATTAATTCAGAAGCACATAAAAAATATCCAGTTCATATAAAAATAATCAGACGTGGTGTGATTGCCAATGAGACAACTATCCACCAATGACCAAAGGACAAGAATGTGTTCAGAACGTGCCTAATTACTAAGGTATATCTAATCAGAAATTATACCATAATTTTTTTGGGATTTTTCTTGTAACATCATAAACTTTGTCTTTTCCAGCAAAAGAAATAGTAAGCATCTTACGGAACCATGAAGTGTATGTATCTTTCAGTCCTAAGGTAAAAACAGGTTCGCTCTGTTACAAAGAAACGCGAGAACACCCTAGTAGCCTGACCAATGAAGTATACTGCTTATCACAAGGGCGCTATGTTACTTACTATACAAACCATTTGTATGATAACAAAGTTGCGCTCCTGTTACTATGTGAAGTTGAAGTTTATGGTAAGACGCAGTTTAAAAAGTTTACTAGTGATGTTCACTGTAATTGAGCTGAAATACGCGTATATTTGAGCGATGATTTTTTTAAATTCCGTTACAGTTCTCACAACATTTTCAGTTGTTGATTTTCCTAAGGAATAATGAAATTTTAAAAATTGAGAGTTTGAAATTTATTTCAAGAACATTAATAAACCTGATTCAGTTTTCTTAACTTTTGTAAATAACAGCTAAACTTAGAAGAAAGTGGCGTAAGCCAAATGCATCAGATGTGTATGACTATTATTTTAATTTCCCTTTTTGGTCATAAAGCTGTTCACGTTTTTACGCATGTATCCATCCTTGCCTTTCTATTTATTGGGTTTTAGCGTTAATATAAAAAGGTAGATCCAGAAAAGCGCTTCGGACGCATAAAACTTAAAATTTGTTTTCTTCATGTGTAACTTCATTTTTCGCAATTGCAGTTTCAGTTAGCTGAAATTCGATATCTGGTGGATATTACATTTACCATTACCTGTATTACATAATGCTAGATTTCACAGAATATGAATAGGGTAAAATATAAGTGTTGGATTCCATTAGCCATTATAGAAAGTAAAACAGACTGATTTTGACTTTTACCATTCAAGGTTGTCCGATGGGCTTCTATGGACCTGAATGTAGCGATAGGTGCAGTACCAACTGTAGAAATCAGCCATGTGAACCAGATTTCGGACGTTGTTTAGGCGGATGTCAACCGGGATTCACAGCCGATCAATGCAATAATGGTATACAAACATTTGTTTCAAAATACTGGGTTTTTTTGTTATGTTAAAGTGGTGAAATATTGGTTACTAGTATATTTATGGTGCAAATTTCTCAACTTAAATGTGTATAATTTAGATACATTTTATATAGATGTGGGATAAACGTCAAAGAGACGGCAACCGAATCAATATTTATTTGAGGTAATAAAACGCATATTTACGACATTATTATTGTTCTTTATATTGAGAAGTAAATTTTATACTATGTAACAGATTTATGTTCATACAATGTATAAGATCTTTTTGTGATTTGCTATGTTTATTACTCAGAATGTGATATTGGTTGGTATGGCAACGGTTGTGCCTTAACATGCAGTCCAACATGTCTCAACGATGACTGTTTTAATACCAATGGAACTTGTAAACAGTGTGTCCCTGGTGCTACAGGAGATATGTGTGAAATAAATAATAGTACAGCTAATACAGATACAAACCCGACAGTTCCAAGTTAGTTTTTCTTATCTGTGTAGTCTTATAACACAAAAGACGTTCATTGAATCAACCCATCAGCAAACTAAAAAATAGATAAAGGAGACAACAAGACTTCAATGTGTAATTTTTCATTTTATTACATTATTTATATATTACTTTCATAAAGATTCCGATACACTCGCAATATACATAAATGAAGGTTATCCAGAAACCTGACGCACGCGCTGGGATATATTTCATACGTTAAGTATACGCATTCGTCACTTAACGTTTCAATGTTACCAATATATATTTTAGCGTCTTTCGAATAGAATATAAAATTGCCGGAAAATTATGTTTATCCAGGTCTCGGAGCATTTCATGGAGTTTGACGGACGCGTATTTTCTTGTCATTCAAATGAGTACTGTAGTCAAAACATGAAGAATGAAAATAACACTCAAAGAATGTCGTGCATCCAAAGCACTTTACTGGGTAAACCTTTACCAGGAACGCTCAAAGGATTGGTAAACCGAAACCTAATCAAACATGTTTTGAACCAAACAACAAACCATTCAGAAACACAAAACCCATAACTGAAACTACTTTGAGTGCAAAAAGTTCACTCTTTGTTTTTTTGAAAATTTCTTAATATATGGACGGGAAATTTGGGAAAAATATGTTATGAATCATGTCAATTCCGAAGCACAGACCACAAAGCTGATGATACCCTCGGTAATTTTCTTATTTTGCAGTAAAATCAGATCTATTAGATTTGCTGTATAAATCTGGATGACAATAAATGACGGCAGTGATAATTTCTTATAGAACTGTTTTATTAATCAAATACATTGTCGTAAAAAACTTATGTATATAGCTTCCTCAACCCAATAGGGACATAAGGCTTCAATCATATACATTGTCGTAAAAAACTTACTTATATAGCTTCCTCAACCCAATAGGGACATAAGGGTTCAATCCAATACATTGTCGTAAAAAACTTAATTATATAGCTTCCTCAACCCAATAGGGACATAAGGCTTCAATCATATGCATTGTCGTAAAAACTTACTTATATAGCTTCCTCAACCCAATAAGGACATAAGGCTTCAATCATATACATGCATGATTCGTTGTTTCAGACGAAGGTTCGATGAATGAGATATTAAGCGCTAGGAACAATGGAAAGTACCTAATAGCAATCGGAGTGCTTGGTCTAGCTTTGTTGGTTTTAATCATCATGTTGCTGTGTTATCGACTGAGATACAAGTAAGTGAATTATGGGTCTTATCACTTTTATTTTATATATTTTGTTTATGTAAGAAGAGCATGTAAATTTTAAAAAAAGAGCAATTAACGCATAACTACTATAAAAAAAGAACTTAGGGCACAATGTCCTGCGCACACTATCACATTCCCATGCTCTGTAAACCGAAAATGTTGGTCTAAACTCTAATTTGGCATATATATATATATATAAATGAAAAAAAAAATCATTTAAGAATTGAATGCTTCTTTTTGTAAATTCATTGGGGTGTAAAAGCGTTGACCGAAGTACATTCTAAATACGTGCGCACGGTCAACGCTTTTACACCCTTATAAAATTACTAAAAGAAGCATTCAATACTTATAATTACATTTTTTTTGCTAGGATCATGAAAACACAATTTCAATCAAGGTTTTTTTTATTTACCTGTGCACTTAATTGCGAAAGCTCGTGTCATCATGAATGTTACATTTCATTATGAAATGAAGGTTAATTTCAGAATGACGCGAGATTGCTGTTAGCCAATCAAAATAACGTATTATAATGAAACACGCATGTAATGTAATTATATGAAAATGAATATTCAAAATTAAAGTTTTGAAACTGATGTAACCACAACTGCAGGATAAACTACTTCTGATGATCCATGAAAGATCTAATCTAATAATATTTTAATGCATTAATCAAGCAATAGGATTGGACACAAGTTATTACAACTTATATTAAGTCCCCTCCTTACATATACAATACACATATATGATGACAGCAAACACATACATATTATAGCGTCAGTTATAGAAAATAAAGAAAGGAGTCACACATTGGCATGGCAACAATAAAAGCAAATAGGACAGAAAGAAAAAAGAAAGCCGCTGACTTGGAATGTTAAAATATTTTTGACTGTTTAATGAAATAACGAACTTTATCCAACATGTTTGATGAAAGATGAACAGGACGGACATCCCGAAAAAAGTACTTCCCTTCTTGCAATCAAAGAATCACGGATTCATCTGCTGTTCGAAGAAATTACAAGTAAAGATAAAGATATAAAGAAAAACTCATTTGGTCTATAGTTTAAGTTTACATAAATTTATATAGGTAGACAAAACGTTATTCAGAATAGTGTTTGTATATTCATTAATAAGTAAAAAATTGGAATGGCAAAGATGAGAATAAGAATTGAGAACGAACAGATTTTTTCTTGGTTTCAATTCACAGTTTTTGATTGACAAAATAAAAAAAAATCAGTAATATTTTTAAAAAGTAAGCACGCTTATGATATCGAGTAACCATATCTCACTTGCATTGCAAAATAACATATTTTTCGTTTTAACAGAAAAATGGAAAAGTTGATAGTAGCGACCAACATATCATCACCTACGGGCACAAAATATCCTAATCCTGAAGATGATCCCAGTTATCATTCTTCCGATCAGCGTCAGCTTTATCCACCGTCAGGACATCCTTTGACCGAACAAAACCACAGCACCACCAGATCAAGTACAGTTCATATATATGATTCTCCTAGTACAGATTCAAACGACAAAAACTACAATGCAGTTGATGGCAAGGGAAATACTCTGTCATATGCAAATGCAAAATTTGGAAAAGGCAAGAATTTAATATGACCGATATCCAGCAATTAAAAGTTTTGTTTTCTCTCTCTCTCTCTCTGTACAAACACATTCTGAATGTGATGTTATTTGTAGTTAATACTAAATACAAAAGTTTGTTTCGTCTGTTCGTAAGGTTATATCTATACATTGTCCAACAGAGTTCTGATTCTTAACAGTATAAACTAAAAAATGATAAGAAACGAAAATTCTAACTCTCTCAGACAAAGTTGAACGTAGATGAATTTGCCTATTCTGTGGAGGTCCTTTTGGATCATAGAGTTCCTATCGTTTCTACGTTCTCACGCATCTTCCAACGTTAACTTTCTTCCGTATTTCCTTTCCTGTTATTGTGTAAAATTAAAATTGAGAATGGAAATGGGGAATGTGTCAAAGAGACAACAACCCGACCACAGAACAGACAACAGCAGAAGGCCACCAACAGGTCTTCAATGCAGCGAGAAATTCCCGCACCCGGAGGCGTCCTTCAGCTGGCCCCTAAACAAATATATATACTAGTTCAGTGATAATGAACGCCATACTAAACTCCAAATTGTACACAAGAAACTAAAATTAAAAATAATACAAGACTAACAAAGGCTAGAGGCTCCTGACTTGGGACAGGCGCAAAAATGCGGCGGGGTTAAACATGTTTATGAGATCTCAACCCTCCCCCTATACCTCTAGCCAATGTAGAAAAGTAAACGCATAACAATACGCACATTAAAATTCAGTTCAAGAGAAGTCCGAGTCTGATGTCAGAAGATGTAACCAAAGAAAATAAACAAAATGACAATAATACATAAATAACAACAGACTACTAGCAGTTAACTGACATGCCAGCTCCAGACTTCAATTAAACTGATTGAAAGATTATGTCTTCATCATATGAATATCAGGCACAATCCTTCCCGTTAGGGGTTTAGTATCATACCATCATAACATATATGAGAAGAACATAACCCGTGTCATGCCAACAACTGGTTTTTAAATAAATGTGTTTAGTGCCGATGCAAAGACCCTATAAGTGAATCAATATTAACGCCAAAATATGCAATCTTTAATGACCTGACAACAGTATCGTAACTATATCCCTTCTTAATAAGTCTATTTAAAGGTTTTGTTAGTTTCAGAGGTGAATACTGACATTTTTGTGCTTTATAAAGAATATTTCCATAAAAAATTGGATGTGAAATACCTGAACGTATAAGAAGTCTGCATGTTGAGCTATATTTACGAATGATGTCCTTATACCGATGATAAAATTTAGTAAATGTTTTGACTAGTTTGTGATATCGAAAACCCTGGTGTAATAATTTTTCAGTAATACATAAATTTCTCTCGTTAAAATCTAAAACATTGTTACATACACGAGCGAATCGTACAAGTTGAGATATATAAACACCGTAAGATGGTGACAAGGGAACGTCACCATCTAAAAATGGATAATTAACGATAGGAAATGAAAAATCATCTCTTTTATCATATATTTTAGTATTAAGCTTTCCGTTAATGATATAGATATCAAGATCGAGGAAAGGGCAGTGGTCATTGTTAGTATTAGCTTTATTTAAAGTAAGTTCAACAGGATAAATTTCTTTAGTATACATACTGAAGTCGTCATTATTGAGAGCCAAAATATCATCCAAATATCTAAAAGTATGTGTATTTTTATGCCCCCGCAACTGAAAGTTGGGGTGGGGGATATTGTTTTACACCTGTCCGTCCGTCTTTCCGTCCGTCCGTCCCATTATGGGTATATAGTTATTCCAGATAACTCCCCCTACAGTTTGAATGCTAGGAAGTTTCACTTTGCTGGCTGTTTGTACATATATTGAAAGTGTGCATGTAGCCGGGGTTTTGATTTTTATTAATATTTGCTCTTTTGGGAGATAGTTGAACTTCGTCAATTTTTGGGAGTATTTACTTGCATAATAGGTGCATAGCGTTTCCGGATAACTCCTCTTACAGTTTGAATGCTAGGAAGTTTTCACATTACTGGCTGTTTGTACATGTACATATATTGAAGGTGTGCATGTGGTCAGGGTTTTGATTTTTATTAATATTTGCTCTTTTGGGAGATAGTTGAACTTTGCCATTTTTTGGAGTATTTACTTGCATAAGAGGTGCATACCGTTTCCGGATAACTCCTCCTACAGTGAACTATAGACTTGTGTGCTCCCATGCTCAACTTTGTGTATTTTAAAATAACACTTTGCAGCAAGATACAATAATATCTCAAAGAAAGTCCTACATTGACTTTGTTATAAAGTTACAGTTACTTCAAAGTGAAGTGCGGGGGCATCACTTTGTCTAGTTTAACATAAAGTATTCTTTTTAATGAAAAGGTATTATAAAATTGTTGAATGAGATTGTTGTTGTTACTGTAGAAAGAATTGCTGTTGTGTAGTCGTGGTGTTGAATAGAAATAAGTAGATGTGGTATGAGTGCCAATGAGACAACTCTCCATCCAAGTCACAATGTGTAAAACGTGAACAATTATTGAATGCCTTGAAATTCTATCTTTTTTAAAAACATTGACTCACATATAGAGAAATTAATTTAATTTTCAGTAACAACAATGTTTTCTTATATTTCAGATCCAGGACTAGATTATGAAGCTTTAAGAAGAGAAGGGATTTTCCCCAGAGAAAGTCATCATATCTATGACCCTCTACACTCGTAAAATTGTGAAAAGAATTTTTACTTATGTTTTAGAATAGTAATAACTTTGTGAATGAGTCAGACTTTATCAATTCAAAATATAAGGCATTTTGGGTGATATTTTTCAAAAGCGTATACTAAAAACTGTGATTGGCTAACAAAGTCATCAACAATGAGAGTTCAACCAATGACGGGACGTTACTTTAGTTTTGTTGAATTGTGGATATAATGCAAGGCTAGCTATACTGACTTAAAATAGCATACACGAATATACCAAATCTTTATTTAAATTCGGTATTGTTATAAGCTACAAAGCATAAGTTCTAGATATCTTTTAACCGAATACATATACACATTCACAGCAGCATAAAAACACAAACATGCCAGCAAACTTAAAAAAGGGAACTACACATGAAAGTAAGCAAATCACAACATAGCAAAGCAATGGTTAAAATGATCAAAGAAAAGTTGTCTGTCATTCTAGTAGCTATGCAATTTTGAAAACTATATACAGTACATATTTTTATTGATCGTTATGCAAAATGAGTTCCAATTGGGTGATTATCTTGTATAAACGGATGTTATTGGGTTATTGTGTTAGCAAGACTGAGTCATACGGTGCTGTTATCTTTCTGTCTCGATTGGCTGTTAGCTTATATATCTGTCTGTCATGTAAACGGAAATGTGCACGCTAAATTCGGTCATACTGAGGTCAATCCGCGGACAAAGAAAACACACATTACAAGGAAGCGAAAAAGGCCACACACACAAATAATTAAAAAAAGATTAATAAGCAACCCGGACGTGACTAAAAACTGGGAGTACATCTTTTTCACAAACATGATAAAAAAAACGGAAACATGCATATAATGAAATTTGGTCAGTATAATTTGTGATGTAGCTTTTTTCCGTCTTTTAAAACCAGTAAGATCTGAACCTTTATATGATGAAAAGAGGAAATTCCTTCCACTTCAGTTTTCTAATAAAGGAATTGATTCAATCAACATCAGCAACGTTCTTCATCACAAGGAGGTAACATCTAAAATTCACTTTATTTTCAAACCAGTCTGTTCCTCTTGTATCCTACAGTTACACCAAAACCATTGCACCTAAAGTATTTAACTATAATCAAGCATTGTAGGACCTTGATTCAGAAGAATACCTAAAAAACCCTCTGACATGTGACTGTTCCCACTCGCCTTATATTTACAGCCCCTCTGGCCATGTTATTACAGGGGATTTAAACATAATTCAACATGAACATCTCCGAAAGGTGATATCTCATAGTCCTAAGTTCAGAGAACCCCAACACATCAATTGGAACCATAACTTCAAAATAATTATGGATTCCATTGAGGACTACGCCAGAGCATGGGCTAAACATGAAGAAGTTGAACTGGACACTTTGTCAGAATTGGTCAAAACAATCAGGTCTCTGATAAAACGCCGCATCCATAAGTTAAAAAACTGTGTGAATGATCAACCACAGTCCGTTTTCAGAGACAAAGAAGCTGTGAAATGTCTATCATCACTTCACGATAAATATGTTGTTGTTCCTGCGGACAAAGCTTTAAATAATATTGTCTTTTTATGTAAATCGTACTACTACGAGTGTCTTGTAAAAGAATTAGGAATAAATGAGCACTCAGGTAATCCCACATACAAAAACATATCATTTGACAAGGATGAGATTTTGGCGAATCATAAGTCCTTCATGGCTTCAATGAACATTACATTGAACAGCAAATCTGAGGACTAACCTTGTTTATATTGGACACCTAAGCTTCACAAAATTCCGTACAAACAACGGTACATTGCCGGCTCATCTGCATGTTCTACAAAGGAATTGTCTATTAGATTGTCAAAAGATTCTGTTAACAGTGAAAGAGGGTCTTCAGAAATACTATGAAACTGTTTACTCGCTTAGTGGTATTAACCATATGTGGATTCTAAAAAAACTCTAAAGAACTTCTGGATAATTTTAAATCTCGATCTTTCTCTGGAATTAATTCTATCAAAACTTTTGATTTTTCAACCCTGTACACCACCATTCACCATGTGAAATTGAAAAATCGTCTAAAAGAAATAATCCACAATGTTTTTTTTAAGATAAAAATGGTAGCATACGCTATAAATTTATTGTTTTGGAATACCATACGGCATATTTTGTTTTTCTTGTGAACAAAAAGGTAAAACATGTTACACAGAGGAACACGTGATCAATATGCTGGAGTTTCTTATTGACAACATATTTGTTGAATTTGTAGGTAGACTTTTTCAACAAATTGTCGGCATTCCTGTGGGAACGAACTGTGCGCCTCTCCTTGTCGACCTCTTCTTAATTTCATATCAGTCGGAGTTCCTTCAGACACTTGTCAAAAACAAGAAGATCAAAGAAGCCAGATCATTTAATTTCACATTCAGATATATTGATGATTCCATTAACAATCCACATTTTTCTGATTGGGTTCCATTAATATATCCTCCAGAACTAGAAATTAAAGAAACAATAGACACGGCTTCATCCGCCTCATTTTTAGACTTATACCTCGAATTTGACATAAGCGGTCACCTCAGTACCAGAATCTATGACAAAAGAGACGATTTCAATTTTGAAATTATCAATTTCCCCCACCTTAGTAGCAATATACCAACTTCACCTGCATATTGGATATACATTTCCCAACTCATTCGGTATACAAGAGGTTGCAGCTGCTACTCAGACTTTATAAAACGTCACCAGTGTCTGAGCAGAAAGTTGATGAACCAGCTAGGGTTATGTCAAAGAACGTCTCGTCCTTTTTCTAAAACAGTTAATCGGAAGATAACAAGACCTTGTTGATAAATATTCCGTAGCATTTTCACAAATAATACATGATGGTCTTGAAGTATAGATTCTAGGTACTGACGTTGTTTATCATCTTAATTTCGTGTTATAGTGTTCTTTTATTTGTCTTTGTAAATTATTAACCTTTATTATTTAGTCAATTTTTGGTAATATCCTTTTACGTACTTATACATCCCGCAATTGTGTTATTGTGCTATGGTCATTTTTTGTATTCTTGTCTTTCATTTTTGATTATTTGCTTTGTCTATATGCCATTTTGTTTTTCTTTGTTGACATATTTGTTTGTTTTTATAGTAATTAAGATTATAACACAGTGTTGATTGCTGTACTCCTATTTTTGAAATTTGTACCGATGTCAGTTTTTAATTTCACACATTGTTGTCAATATAATGGAATTTTATGCGACTGTCATACAAGTGAGAGGTTTAGCTAGCTATAAAACCATGTTTAAACCACCATTTTCTACAGAAAGAAATGCCTGTACCAAGTCAGGAATGTGACAGTTGTTTTTCATTCGTTTGATTTGTTTGAGCTATTGATTTTGCCATTTGATAAGGGACTTTCCGTTTTGAATTTTCCTTGGAGTTCGGTATTTTTGTTATTTAACTTGTTTGTTTTATAGTTATATGACAGTCTGGGTTATAGTTTTTTTAAGAACTTTATGCAATTTGAGTTTAGGCCTTTTTAAATCGTATGAAATTTGTCTTTGTTTTTACTGTCAGACTTTTTACAGTCGATTCTTCACTACTGTGTTACGCTATTTTATTTACTTTTTAACTGGGGAGGGGGTCACACTGATCATAGGGACGAGAGCATTCAGATTCGACGATTTTCAAGTGTTTTTGGTTTAATTATCAATGGTACACGGTCAATTATCACGTAAATATTAAACGCGTGTACAAGAGTTTTGAAGGACTTTTTTAAGGTTATTTTTAGGTTATAGTATAATTCGATTTTGAGTCTGTGTTTTTGTGTTTTTGTTTACAAACGAGAGGATACATCGGGTCAAGGCAGTTTGATGGTTGTAAATATTGAAATCGTATTTCTGTGTAGATACGAAAGGGGAGGGGAAATCTTCAGACAATATGAAACGATCTAAATCAAAGAACTCGAGGACTTTTCGTCGCAATATTTCTTTCTCTTTTTTTTTACATTGTCTAAAAAATTTGCGATTGGAAAAATACTTTTTGAAATTCCACATATTTAAATTTTATTGGCAATATCTCCTGAACGCTCAAAAAAATACTTTTCTATTTTTTTTTTCTCGCCATCCTCCAAAAATGTGCATACAGAAAAATGCTTATTAAGTTTTCAGGTTTGACGAGCAAGATTGAATTAACGGTTTACACTATTCTAATACCAAAATAAAAGAAATACAATTTACAAGGACAACCAAATTGAATGAAGACGCATTGATTATCATGTATGTCTGTCCGATGAATGGGTATTGTTTGTTTTTACACCACATCGTAAAAGTGACTTGATTACGCTCGGGACATGTTAAAAATCCTAGCGTTGGTTCATGTGATCCGAATTGTATGGACAAGGTACGACAGAGTTAACTTCTGGTAGGAAATCCCCAATAAGGACGCAACGTCTTTAAGTTTTCATATTCCGATAGACGTAAAGTTAATAATTTCTTCGTTGGTACCACGTTAGTATGATTTTTAGGCAACCAATGTTGTCTTATGTCTACACATGCTGTTAGCTATGATGCTGCAGTACACATTACTCCCGAGATGGGGCGCAAAGTCCCTCTCGTTCAGAGCCTGGTCCAAAAATTCCAAGTTGTCAACCAGTAACTTCCACCGATGTAGTGGGAGACTTATTCCCCTTTTACTGGGTATCCTATTTCCGTTTTTGTTCACCCATTCTCTAATGTCGAATTTCATCTTTCCATTCAATGGCTTTTACAGATCTATTGTTTCCCAGCTCAATGTTGCAACGTGCCTTATCCATCTCGATCGAGTTGAGAATAAAGCCGGGGTAAGGGAACAGATCGTTTTATAAACCCTCCTTTTACCTCATTGGCTGGTTCATCACGTACCGGCCGTGTAAGGGTGCCAGATTCGACAGGGTTGCACATGACGACCAAACTGATAGGGGCGGAACACGTCAGGATGACTTATCTGACGAATGGGGTGGGAGTGTCAACGTATATTTGATCCGCTTGACAGAGTTCCACTAGAAACTTTGTTATAAACGATGTCATACTATATGTTCCTGTTGGAACAAATATTCTATACCATTTATTCCGTTAGGAACATATACT